CTTTTTATATAGCAAATCTGTTTACGTTGATAAACGTTCTGTCTGATTGTCCAGTTATTAACAATCTCAATACGAGTCTTTTAAAAGTCATCAACAATATATTTTTGCTTAAATAATTTTTTAATTCAATTATTGTTAATTTTATAATTCTTTTTCTAATAAATGTCTTTGTAAATAATACTTTAGTGTTTATAATATATTTTTTGAAAAATTTTACGCATACGAGTTAGATCCGCCACTAAAGGGGTCAGTAGTATGCCACTAATTGGATCAGGGGATTATTGGCCCTGGCATTAATGGGGTCATTTGAATAATGGATTTTAAATATTTATAAATAATGGTAAATTTGGAAAAATTAAAATTTTTAAAATTAATTATATAAGTTTAAACATTAATGAAGGCATTAAGTACGAAAAAAATTAAATATTTGTACTTAAACTTTAATAACAAATTCTGTTAACCCCCTTCCTTATAGTACCACTAATGGGGTCTTTTATCTTATTTTGATTATTTAAATTCTTAGATTTTTTTTTATATTAAAAAATATAATAAAATAAATTCTCAGGACTGGATGGGTGAAATAAGCAAAGAGTGGGCAAAATTACCTTCCGAAAAGCGGGAAAAATTCGAAACAGAAGCAAAGAAGCTGATGGAGCAGTACAAAAACGACATGATAGACTGGGAAGCAAAGATGATCCAGATGGGACACTTCGACGTGATCAGACGGCAAGTGTTGCTGGACTTGAAAGACAAGACCGGCCAGGAGGAAAAAAAACGTTGAATGTACCACGAATAAAATTTTCTTTTTCTATAATTTCAATATGAATTTATTGACTGGTAAATTAAGCAAAAATCCTCGATCAAGTCGAGGGATCAATTATCACTTGGACAGTCTCGAGCTTGGCGAGTTCATCCTCGTAGTCGATAAAGTGCCTGGTGATGGTGAAGTAGAACATCACGAAGGAGAACATGTAGACGTTGAAGTCGTAAACCACCAGGGTCCAGATTTTGTAAGAGTTCTTCAACTTGCTGATCAGAGATGGCCGGATGTTGCACAGCATCAGCACCGCGTACATCATGTTCTCCCGGGGAGAATTTTCCTGGGTTGTCAGGATGTACACGCGCGGGAGCAGCAGCAACAGGAACGGCGTTATCACACTCTAAAATATTTTATTAAGAAATAACCTTGTATTTCGTGAAATATTGACATTTTTAAAGATATAAGCTCATCTCAATAATATACTGATCAAGACCTTTCATTTGAATACCCACATGCATATTTCATATATTTTTCATATTTACATATATTATATTATATATATGTAAATATGAAAAATATATGAAATATGCATGTGGGTATTCAAATGAAAGGTCTTGATCAGTATATTATTGAGATGAGCTTATATCTTTAAAAATGTCAATATTTCACGAAATACAAGGTTATTTCTTAATAAAATATTTTAGAGTGTGATAACGCCGTTCCTGTTGCTGCTGCTCCCGCGCGTGTACATCCTGACAACCCAGGAAAATTCTCCCCGGGAGAACATGATGTACGCGGTGCTGATGCTGTGCAACATCCGGCCATCTCTGATCAGCAAGTTGAAGAACTCTTACAAAATCTGGACCCTGGTGGTTTACGACTTCAACGTCTACATGTTCTCCTTCGTGATGTTCTACTTCACCATCACCAGGCACTTTATCGACTACGAGGATGAACTCGCCAAGCTCGAGACTGTCCAAGTGATAATTGATCCCTCGACTTGATCGAGGATTTTTGCTTAATTTACCAGTCAATAAATTCATATTGAAATTATAGAAAAAGAAAATTTTATTCGTGGTACATTCAACGTTTTTTTTCCTCCTGGCCGGTCTTGTCTTTCAAGTCCAGCAACACTTGCCGTCTGATCACGTCGAAGTGTCCCATCTGGATCATCTTTGCTTCCCAGTCTATCATGTCGTTTTTGTACTGCTCCATCAGCTTCTTTGCTTCTGTTTCGAATTTTTCCCGCTTTTCGGAAGGTAATTTTGCCCACTCTTTGCTTATTTCACCCATCCAGTCCTGAGAATTTATTTTATTATATTTTTTAATATAAAAAAAAATCTAAGAATTTAAATAATCAAAATAAGATAAAAGACCCCATTAGTGGTACTATAAGGAAGGGGGTTAACAGAATTTGTTATTAAAGTTTAAGTACAAATATTTAATTTTTTTCGTACTTAATGCCTTCATTAATGTTTAAACTTATATAATTAATTTTAAAAATTTTAATTTTTCCAAATTTACCATTATTTATAAATATTTAAAATCCATTATTCAAATGACCCCATTAATGCCAGGGCCAATAATCCCCTGATCCAATTAGTGGCATACTACTGACCCCTTTAGTGGCGGATCTAACTCGTATGCGTAAAATTTTTCAAAAAATATATTATAAACACTAAAGTATTATTTACAAAGACATTTATTAGAAAAAGAATTATAAAATTAACAATAATTGAATTAAAAAATTATTTAAGCAAAAATATATTGTTGATGACTTTTAAAAGACTCGTATTGAGATTGTTAATAACTGGACAATCAGACAGAACGTTTATCAACGTAAACAGATTTGCTATATAAAAAGATTAGAGTGCCTTTGATTTTAACATTGCCGGTAATTGGCGCTAGAGAATTTTCATGCCCCTACTAGTGACATTTTTGTTTTTTTTTTTATAACAATATTTATTTTAAAAAAGGTAAATAAATAATTTTGTGATTCTATAGACTTTTAAAAATCTTTAATGATAATTGCTAGTATAATTATATGAGAAAAATATTTAAAAATTCACTTTTAAAAATGTGACCAATGTTAACCGAATTATTAAGAAATTTAAAATTAGCTTGGGGTTGTCAGTTTGGTTGAAAAAGAAAAATTTTTTTTTTACTAAAAAAATTTTCCCTGAAATGAAAATTGAACATTTGTGTGATCTAGAGGTCTTAAAGATTATAAATAAAATACTTATAATAGAAATTAATGATTAAATTGATTAAATAAATAGCAAAATCAATTAAAGTGCTACTAATGAGGTTTTTTACCTTAACTATTTTTAATCATCTAAGTTTGAAAAAAAAATTTACCTGAACAGCAGTATCTGGATCTTTGGACTTAACATGAGACATCATGTATAAAATAAAAGCCGTTGGGGGTTTTTTAGGCTTGCCTAGTTCAAGTAGTCTCTAAAAAAAAATAACAATATTAATAATTAACACCCTTGCAGTCACTACGTGACTCCAGTGACTTGTGCCCTATAAATAAATAAAATGTTGCTTTATTAAATAATGAGTTTAGTTAAATTGCACTGTACTTTCTTAAATATTGACATTTTTAAAGATATAAGCTCATATTGATGTTACACTCTTCAAGAGCTTTCATTTGAGTACCCACATACATTTTTTATATATACATATATATAAAGATATAAAATATATGAAAAATTAATGTGGGTACTCAAATGAAAGGTCTTGACGAGTGTAACATCAGGATGAGCGTATATCTTTAAAAATGTCAATATTTCACAAGATACAAGGTCATTTCTTAATTATTGATATTTTTAAAGATATAAGCTCATTTCTTAATTATGTATCTAGAGATATATTTTCTATTTTTTTTTTTTAAGTATCTAGAGATATATTTAACCTTATTCTCTTAATAATATAAATAATAATAATGATGATAAAAAAATACTGACAGCTCTCAACACGTTTTTTTTCTTGTTAGCCTCAACCCTGCGATTCTCTTCTTCAATGACCATCTTCTGCTCGTCAGTAAGCTTCCTCTCATAGTCCATCATCTGGTGACTGTATTTAAGCATGTCCTCCCTGTACTGATCCTGGAGTTCCTTTTTGAGAGCTGGGTCGCACTGTGCCCATTTTTTCCCGTATAGTCTGCAGAGATCAGGCACTTTTGCCTCCGGAAATTTTTCCTTAAGTTCATCACGCACTAACGCAGTGTACCTCAGAAAGGCATTCTGCGGCCGCTTCGGTCGCTCTGGGAGGTCCAGTCTCTGCTCCATCAGTCGTCGCTTCGCCGAGTAGTCTCGGGAAAGTACCAGACAATTTCTAAAAATTAAATGTTAATTATTTTTCTATAAATTAATTATTAATTATTTAAAAAAAAAAAGTAAATAAAATTCTTACCTTGGCAGTGAAATTATTTTTGTATTACAAAAATTCAGCAATTTGTTGCACGCCATTTTTTTTTTTATTTGTTAGTTTATTTTACCGGCTAATTTTATGGATTGTTTATTAAAAAAATATTTTATTGCTTGATTAATTAATTATAAATTAAAGTGCTTGAGGTAACTGCGGTGTTATAATTTTTAATGTTGTTTGAGGTTATATTTTTTTATTTTAGTACTAAAGGTATTTGTAGGGAGCGCTAGTGGGTAAAAAACAGCGGGAAATTTTGAAAGTTGAAAAATTTGAAAAAAAATATTTACAATATTTTTTATTCAATTTATAATAATTAACAAAAATTTTGTAAGACTTTAAAAATAAAAATCAATATTTTTTTTTCTTTCACTCATAAAATTATTAAAAAAAAATACATCAATAATTAAATCAGCAAATATTCTTTAAAATTAATTTATTCAAAATTTCATAACAAAAAAGCGCCTTCTCCCCACTTTTTTACTAAAACTCCGGCTATTTTTTCTTTTTCTCCCCCACCTTTAATCTTATCTCCTTTTTTTATGATTAAATTAACATAATTACACTTAAAATAATAGAAATTCTTTATCAGCTTCAATTATTTACTTAATTTAATCTTCTAAACTCAAAATTTCCCCCACCATTACTTAAACCCACCCATTTTTACTACCACGCCTTTAACTCCGCCTTCAGAACAATAAACCCCACCTTGAAAACAATAAACCCCGCCTTGAGAACGATAAGCTCCGCCCTGTTCCACAAACCACGCCCCTTCTTAAAAAAAAAAATTACAAAAATTCCGTAATTTTAGCCTCAAATTTTATTTCTAGCCTCTTACAAATCTTAACTATGAATTTGGATCCTCTGATTCCTGGTAGCCCGGACATTAAGTTCCTTCCTGCACTCCTCAGCCTGCTTCTCCAACTGTTCTTTCAAGACGAGCAACTCTCTGGTCCTCTGATAAACAGGGTCCTGTTGCCGCATACTGGGGTTCCAGCGACAGTAGAGCCCCTTCCAGAGCTTGACGTACCTCATACTGGCGGTAGGCAGCAGCACCGTCTGATACCCGGCCCAGTAGAGGGGGTTCATGTATAACGCGAGCTGAGAATTGATCATCGACCAGAGCGACACCGTTCTCTGCTTGACTCCTTCAGCGACTCTTTCCCTCTCGCTGCTGAAGAGGAAAGTTCCGAACCTGAAAAAAACCAAAACTTTAGCACCTGCTAAAGTATTATCAAGTTTTAGTCGCAGGAATTCTTACCTGCAGCTGTAGAGGTGGTCCAGGATAGTCACCAGGAAGTGCTCGTTGAACTGGAAGGCGTTCGGGAACTGCTGGGTGATCTGCCAGACGCAGTCGATGAACTGGAGGAACACCGGGCTTCTGTCTGCGTCGCTGTGATGCTCGTCCCCGTGACCAATCCTCTGGGAGAATTTGTGGCCAAAAGACAGCCATTCTTTCTCGATCAGCACTTCGAACCCTTTTATGGTCCTGTAGTAGGGGTCCAAGAGTAACATTGCTAAGGCTGTGAGTTGAACTGTCCTGTCCCAACCGTCGGAACAATGAACTAACACTGATGTTTTGTGACTTTCGACCTGAATGGAATAGTTATTTACTTAATTCAATTTTTTAAATTTAAAATTCCGCGTATTATTACTTAAACCCGCCTATTTCTCCCCTACTAAACCTCTAACTCCGCCCTAAAAACGATAAGCTCCGCCTTAGGAACAATAAGATCCACCCTGTTCCACAAAACACGCCCCTTCTACATATTACGCCTTTAACCCCGCCCTTAGAACGATAATCTCCGCCTTAAGAACCATAAGCGCCGCCCTGTTCCACAGAACACGCCCCCCCCTTTTTTTTTTTTACCAATTACGCATTTAATTTCGCTCTAAGAACGATAAGCTCCGCCTCAAGAATCATAAGCTCCGCCCTGTTCCCCAAAGTACGCCCATTTTCTTCATTGCGCCCTCAACTCCGCCCTAAGAACGATAGGCCTCGCCTTAGGAACAATAGGCTCCGCCCTGATCCACAAAACACGCCTCTTTCTTCAAGAAGAAATCACAAAAAATTCCGTAATTACACCCTCAAATTTTATTTCTGACCTCTTACAAGTCTACTAATATTAATTAAGTGATCATAACTTTCTTTACAACTAAAATAAAATTTATTTTGAAGAGAACAGTCAAAGCTACAACTTTTGTCTAGTTAATTAACTAAAAATCATCAAAATCAAGAAGCATACTTACCTTTTCAACAATCCTAACAGCTCCAAACAAAATGCACTTAAGATGCTTGAGCCACATGGTAGCCTCAATCCCAGAGAGCCATTTAGTCTCATCAATAGTCGGAAAGCACAGTTCCGTGAGCTTCCGCATGCTCTCCCTCATCACATGAATATTATGAATATCCAAAAAAACGAGTTCGGCGTTCTGGTAGGCGTCTTCGGACTCGTACCCGCCCCCTTTGGCGCGATTGGCAATGGCATTGGGCATGGGCCGAGCGTCCATGATGAACAGTTTGTGACTCTGCGCATTAGCGTCCATGATCAGCTGAACATACCTTTCGTCTTCGGGGCTCCTTTTAGCGGCGACGCCCACAAGAGGTTGCGCGCACCTGGTGATGGTTGCTTGAGACTCCGGATGGATCCAAGAAAGAACCGGAAGGCGCCCCCTGCTCCTAAAAGCCGCACTAGCCGCTAAATCCTCGTCAGTAGCCGCCGTAGGAACCGCCCAGATCGCGGGGTAAGAATCGCAGATGGCGTAACTGTCGTTGATCCTCGTGATCTTCCACATGTCATTATTGACGCCCATTCTCTTGAGCTCCGCGATTGGCTCGTAGACCGCCCATCCGTTCTCCGGAAAGGTCTCCGAGTACTCGAACGCGAACAGCGGAAGTTTGTGGCTCAGCGGAAACGAGTACTGGTGGAGTTTCTCGAACACGTCTCGCCTTGAATGGTTCTCCTGCTTGTGTGCGAACCGCAAATTCCGCATGTCCTTGCAGAACACTTCGATTCCGTAGGAGTTTTCGCCCCTAGACGAGGCTCCGCCCACTTTTTCTATTCGCGAAATCACGCCCAGTGGAACCTCTACTGTGTACGGAGTTTCACGGTCGCTCGAACGGAAGTACAGCTTGTAGTTTGTTACAGTTAGAACCCCGCGAGAGGGCCCTGAGTAGGGGCAGAGGTACGTCACTTCCCTTGCGACTCCTTGGCGGCGCTCTCCGTTTAACAATGGCGGCCCGCTATCGCCCAAGTTCTGGAAAAGTAATTTCCCGGGCTTAGAGGGTAATTTCTAGTTTTTTTAGGGGCTTTGGTTATTACCGGGCTTACTCTGTCGTCTTTTTTAGTCTCCAATGCGGAGATTATATTGTTATCTGTCGAGGTCGAGCTGGTGGAGAAGCTTTTTGATTGAGATGCTTTTTCCCAACTCTCCTTTGTTAGCAGTTAGAGAAATTAGTTAGGTTAGATAGGCAACTTTCTCTTAAGGTTACATGACGCCTCCGTTAGGGCGCGCAGGTTCTATTCTAAGGCTTGCGACGTATTAGAATTTAAAAATTTGGCGCGAATTTTGAATGTAGATTTTTTTTTAATGGGTAAGCGTCAAGGAGCACCTTTAGAGAGAGTTGGTTAGAATTTTTTTTTAGTTTTGTTAGTAAGATAAATGGTGAAATTGAAAAGTAAAGCAAAAGACCCCATTAGTGGCACTATAAGGAAGGGGGTTAACAGAATTTGTTATTAAAGTTAAAGTACAAATATTTAATTTTTTTCGTACTTAATGCCTTCATTAATGTTTAAACTTACATAATTAATTTTTAAAATTTTAATTTTTCCAAATTTACCATTATTTACAATTATTTAAAATCCATTATTCAAATGACCCCATTAATGCCAGGGCCAATAATCCCCTGATCCAATTAGTGGCATACTACTGACCCCTTTAGTGGCGGGTCTAACTGGTATGCGTAAAATTTTTCAAAAAATATATTATAAACACAAAAGTACTATTTACAAAGACATTTATTAGAAAAAGAATTATAAAATTAACAATAATTGAATTTAAAATTATTTAAGCAAAAATATATTGTTGATGACTTTTAAAAGACTCGTATTGAGATTGTTAATAACTGGACAATCAGACAGAACGTTTATCAACGTAAACAGATTTGCTATATAAAAAGGATAGAGTATCTTTGATTTTAACATTGCCGGTAATTGGCGCTAGAGAATTTTCATGCCCCTACTAGTGACATTTTTGTTTTTTTTTTTTTTTAATAATATTTATTTTAAAAAAGGTAAATAAATAATTTTGTGATTCTATAGACTTTTAAAAATCTGTAATGATAATTGCTAGTATAATTATATGAGAAAAATATTTAAAAATTCGCTTTTAGAAATGTGACCAATCTTAACCGAGTTATTAAGAAATTTAAAATTTGCTTGGGGTTTCAGTTTTCTCCCTGAAATGAAAATTGAACATTTGTGTGATCTAAAGGTCTTAAAGATTAGAAATAAAATACTTAGAATAGAAATTAATGATTAAATTGATTAAATAAATAGAAAAATCAATTAAAGTGCCACTAAAGGGGTATTTTGCCTTATAACATTCTTAACTCTGAGAGTAAGATTGTAAATTTAATTATTATTATATATTATTCACATTGACCATCAGGCGAAGCGGTTGGTTCGTTCAATTATTTATTAAAGTATTAGCAGACATCTGGTAGCTGAAGTATAAAATTTGTAAGCAGTTTTGGCTAAATTAAAAAAATGTCAATTTATTATTTTTAAGTATTCTATTTTAAAAAAATTTTTTTTTAATATTTATTAAAATAAAAAAAAATTATAAATATAATTTTTTATTAATATTGATATTAAATAAATATTTATAACCTAAAAACTTACCAGATATCTGCTACTCAATAAAAAAATAATTTTCTGCTTGCTTAAAATAAATAATTACTTATTAACAATAAACAAAAACAAAATTTACCGATTCATGGCCTATTTTTGAGTTGAGCGAGCTGCTTTTGCTGGAGTTTAATGAATCCGTGCTCGCATTCTTCGAATTATCTGCTAGCAATTCAGCGCTTCCTCTCTTCTCCATTTTTTAGCTCGAATTTTATTCAATTTTAAATAATAAATATATTATTTAAAAAATCAGTGTCTTGAATTGATCATTTTGACAGCTGAAAAATAACAAAATAATTAACCTATAATTTCCAACAATGACATACGTACTTACCACGCCCTAGATTGTGTTTTAATTATTTACCCGCAAAGATTATAAAAAAAAATTTTTTAGTTTTATTTAAATGACAAGTTCAATTATTTTTTAAATTATTCCTTGTAATTATTAAAGAGTATTTAGGTAATAATTAATCACAGCTTGTACTTGTTGTCAACAATTGTCAGTTACTCTCTTTTTTTTTGTAAGTTTAATATTTCGCCGCTGTGGCGCTTATGGCGGGAAAAATTGAATTTTTAAAATAATTTTAATTTTTTTAAACTATTTAATCATTTATTTCTGTAATAAAAACTTTATTGTCAACAATTGTCAGTTACAATCTTTTTTTTTCTTTCTAATAATAATAATGCAAAATTTTCTGTATTTTTAATCTTTAATTAATAACTTTTTTTCTAATTAAAATTAAAGAACTGGACTAAATTTATTTTAAAAAAGGTAAAGCTGCAATTTTTATCAAAAAATTTTATTCCAAGTCCAATAATTTATTTAGTAATTAAATTTAGAATTAAATAATTTAAATTTGTTTATTTAATATTAAACATTCCAGTAGTGGTATGTTTAATAATCGGAGATAAATTATTCCCAGTTGAATAGTTAAATAAAAGTAATAACTTTTCCGGGACTCACTTTTAGTGAAAATCTGCAGGATGATGATCAAGAGCACGATTAGTAACTTCTGCTTGAAAAAGGGGGAATTTCTACGAAAAATTCGAGTCAATTTCTTAAAAAAATCAAACAGGGCGCTGAAAAGTTTGAGATAAAATTTTGAAATTTTAAAAATTAATAGTGGGTTTTAAAGCTGAAGAAATGAGGATTATAAAAATACCGGCGAAGACATTAATTTAATTACAATAATAATTTTTTAACTTAAAAAATAGCCCCTAATTAAAAAAACGTATTTTTTTAAAGAAATTTCCATATTTTTCGGATTTAAAACGCCTTAACTTTGTTTCTGATTGATATTTTAAAACCGGACTAATTTTAAAATTAAGAAGACACTTTAGGCTATAATTTTTCCAAGAAACTTTTTTTATAAAAACAAATAGTTTACTTAATAAAAATTGTCTAAGCTAAAAAACTATAATTATGATCAAAAAAAATTACTATCATTTCTCTGGTCGATTACTATTATTATTGTAATTAAATTAATGTCTTCGCCGGTATTTTTATAATCCTCATTTCTTCAGCTTTAAAACCCACTATTCATTTTTAAAATTCCAAAATTTTATCTCAAACTTTTCAGCGCCCCCATGAAGAATTCTAAAATTTTATCGAAACTTTCTATTAAATTTTTAAATAATTCTAAATGAAAAATTTCTAGCTTGGCTGTGAATTTCCATATGAACAAGTCGAGGTAAATAATCAAAAAATTAATGATCTGGATTAATTTTGAGAGATGTCGCAAGAATTTCGGACATTCGAGCAAACAGAATCAAGCAAGCAGACTGTGAGCTCCGCAAGGGGCCGACTTTCGTCAAACTAAATATTTAATTAACAATTCTTTCGTCCATCGCGAGGTTGAATTCAACGACCAGCTGTTTGATTCTCTTGAGAAATTGACCTTAATCTTCCGGATAACTAATCGCGCGTTTTCAAGCAGAAGTTACTAATCGTGTTCTTGATCATCAACCTGCAGATTTTCACTAAAAGTAAGTGTCCAAAAGTTATTACTTTTATTTAACTATTCAACTGGGAATAATTTATCTCCGATTGTTGCAAATTAAAATGCTGAAAGCAATCATCGTCGTCGTTGCATTTGCGCTGCTGTCATTACGCTGAGGAAGCGGTAAGGATCTGTTAATATAATTTTTATTTCATTTCATGATATTTATTGATTAATCGAATTTATTTTTAAAGTCGATGGGAAGTGAAGATCCTCTTGATGGAGTTACGGATGTAAGTATTTCTAATTTTTATAAATCCTTTCAGTTTATTTTTCGATAGTTAATCATGATTTATTTGATAATTTACAGGCGGTAGACTTATAAAATTAAAATTACGCTAGTAATTTTATTGCTCGTGTAATAACACACTATTGTACATCGAATTTGGCTATACCTCTACTGGAATGTTCAATATTGAATAAACAAATTAAAATTATCTAATTCGGCTGTATTTTATTTAAACCTCCTTTTTTTTTAAAAAAATAATTCAAGTTCTTAATTTTGTACTATTTAAAACTTGTATACATTTTTAATAAATAAATTTTAATATTTTATGTTAAATAAATTATTGGACTTAAATAAATCATCGTACTTGAAAAATTCATTATTTTTTTTTTTTAATAATAATTAACAAGGACTGGACTTATTTCAATAGTTATTTAATAAATTAAAAATAAAATTCATGCGATCAAAAATATAATTTTATTTATTTAAGAATTAATTTTGTTTATTAAAAGTTAATAAAAACATTTTCAGCTACTACTTTTGTGTAAAAAATTTTTTTCTAAGACCAATAGTTTAATTATTTAAAAAATGTCAAAAAATTCAAAGGCAAAAAATTCAAGAAAAATTTTTTAAAAATTTAATCGAAGATTAAAAATAGTCAACTCAATATTTTTATGTCTTTGCCGGCATTTTTATAATCCTCAAAGTCTCAGCTTTAAGTTACAATAATCATTTTTCCAATTGCGCCATTTTTTCTCAAAGTTTTCAGCGCCCCCAACTCAAAATCCCGTTTTTTTCGCGAATTTACCGTGTTTTATGGTTTCAAAACTCCATAACTTTTTTTCTAATCAAAATTTTGGAACCGGATAAAGTTTAAATTAAAAAAGAGACTTTGAGCTACAATTTTTGTGAGAATAAATTTCGTTAAGATCAATAATTTCCGAGATATCTTAAAAATTAGTATATAATAAAATAATGATTCACTTACTCAGAGTTGAGGTTGATCACGAGTATAATCTTGATTAAAAATCTCCAGAATTTATACTGGATCTTATCATATTATCACAAGAGATTGATGACACATTTAATTAACCAAGCGTTCCTAATTATTAAAAATTAACTTAATATTTTTTTAAAACTCTCAAGTAAAGTCTGCGATTACTTTAAAATTTCACACCCTACTTAATAAATATAACGTTATTTATTTAATTAAATAGATATTTCACCTCGTACGTAATTTAAAATTTTAAAATTTTTATTGTAGTTTTTAAATTTTGATGATTAAAAATAGCTGTCTTAATATATTTTTATGTCTTCGCCGGCATTTTTATAATCTTTAAAGTCTTAGCTTTAAGGCCTACTAAAATTTCTTTGAAAAAAAAATTTTTTTAACCAAATTTTCAGCGCCCCCAACTCAAAAAACTCGTTTTTATGAAAAATATCCAAGTTTTTAGGTTTTAAGCACTCATAACGTTTTTTTTTAAATCAAAATTTAAATTTAAATTTACTATTTTTGTATAAAACTTTTTTTTTCTAACACCAATGTCTTAGGAGATATATTACGAATTATAATAATTAAATGTTTTAAATAAATTAAAAATAAAATTCATGCGATCAAATATATAATTTTATTTATATTATTCAAGAGTAAATTTTGTTAAATTGATACATTTTATTATTTGTAAAGATTTATTAAGAGTTGAAAGAAAAAATTTTATTAAATTGAAATTATTGAAAATTATGAGTTACATTGTAACTGAATCTTCATTATTATCCTTCAACACATTTCCCGGTTCTAATCATCGGGTTTGTTGCTGAGCCACACCAGTAGGGACGACAACAGTAATAATCTTCATCATCATCACACTGAAATTATACAACCAAAATAAATAAATTATACTTGATTTAAACTTTAGATAATTAACATTAAGTCTATTTTGAATTTACCTCTTGGCCTAAACCTTGACAACCTGCACTTGTTTTAATCCATACGCACATAAGGATTCCAAGAATCAGTAATAATAATAATGTTCCTTTCATTTTTTAAAGTTATTTGCTGTTTAATTCTAAAAAAAACAATGTAATTATTTTATTTAATAAAATTATAAAAAAAAAATTCATATAAAATTTTTAAACTTTGCTGATTAAAAATAGTTAAAAAATTATTTTTATGTCTTCGCCAGGATTTTTATCATCCTCAAAGTCTCAGCTTTAAAACCCACTGATCATTTTTTAAATTCCGAAATTTTTTCACAAAGTTTTCAGCGCCCCCCAACTCAAAATCCCGTTTTTTCGTGAATTTACCATGTTTTATGGTTTTAAAACTCCATAACTTTTTTTTCTAATCAAAAAAAGAGACTGAGCTACAATTTTTGTAGGGAACTTTTTTTTTTTAAATTAATATTTTAAGAATTAGTATAAAAATTAAATGTTATACTTACGGCGAATTTACCATAAGCTGAACGGCAACTAACTTCTGTGCTAAAAATCTCCAAAATTTATACTCGACCTTATCAAACTTTTGCCAGAAATTTTTACACAACTAAACAATCAAGCCTTTAGAATTTTTCTAAAATTAACTTTATATTTTTATAAGAATTTAAAATAAAATCTGTAATAACAAACAATTCATAATTTACACAATAAAAATAAGTATGTATTTAATTAAACAAATATTTGTACGTAAAAATTAAAATTTTTTTTAAATAAAAATTAAAGGACGATAATTAATTATTAAAGATATTTTTTTTTTTTAAATAATAGTTATTTTAATATTTTTATGTCTTCGCCGCCATTTATTATAATCTTCAAAGTCTTAGCTTTAAGGCCTACTAAAATTTTTTTGAAAAAAAAATTTTTTTAACCAAATTTTCAGCGCCCCCAACTCAAAAAACTCGTTTTCATGAAAAATATCTAAGTTTTTAGGTTTTAAACGCTCATAACTTATTTAATATACCGGGCTAATTTTATCTCAAAGAAGATATTTCAAGCTACAACTTTTGTTTTATAAATTTTTTTCCAAGACCAATAGTTAAATTATTTAAAAAAATGTCAAAGTTTAAAGACAAAAAATTCAAGAAAATTTTTTTTAAAGTTTGATCGATGATTAAAAATAGTTAACTCAATATTTTTATGTCTTCGCCGGGATTTTTATAATCCTCAAAGTCTCAGCTTTAAGATCCACTATTAATTTTTTTAATTTAGATATTTTTTCTCAAAGTTTTCAACGCCCCCAACTCAAAAATCCGTTTTTTTGCGAATTTAACATATTATATGGTTTTAAAACTCCATAATTTTTTTTCTAATCAAAATTTTGGAACCGGATAATGCTTAAATTAAAAAAGATCTCAAAATAACACTATTGACAATCTAATTAATTAATATTAATATTATTATAATTAATTATATAAATAATAAATTAAAAATAAAATTTTATTTATTCAACAGTTAATTTTGTTAAAACATTTTTTAATATTTGTAAAGAATAATTGAGAGCCAAGAAAATATTTTATTAAATTGAAATTATTGAAAATTATGAATTGTACACATTTATTATAATCACTCACTACCACCCCCGGTTTTTAGTACAGGACCCTTCGTTATCACCCGGGTCTATTAAACAAACGAAGTTTCTACAACAGGACACTGTCCCATCAGCAGTACACTGAAATTATACCAATAAATTATACTTGATTCAAACTTTAGATAATTAACATTAAGTCTATTTTTAATATTACATCGTAACCTTCGACCCCACAACTGGCACTTGGATCAATCCATACGCACATAAGGATTCCAAGAATCAGTAATAATAATAATGTTCCTTTCATTTTTTAAAGTTATTTGCTGTTTAATTCTAAAAAAAACAATGTAATTATTTTATTTAATAAAATTATAAAAAAAAATTCATATAAAATTTTTAAACTTTGCTGATTAAAAATAGTTAAAAAATTATTTTTATGTCTTCGCTAGGATTTTTATCATCCTCAAAGTCTCAGCTTTAAAACCCACTAATCATTTTTTAAATTACGAAATTTTTTTACAAAGTTTTCAGCGCCCCCAACTCAAAAAATTGGAATTTTCCAACTTTTTGGGTTTTAAAGGGTCATAACTTTTTTTCTAATTAAAATAAATGAACCGGACTAATTTTATCTTAAAGAAGACATTTTTAGCTATAAATTTAGTATGAAAATTTTTTTTTTAAGACCAATAGTTTAATTATTAAAAAAATGTCAAAGTTCAAAAACGGAAAATTTGAGAAAAATTTTTTTAAAGTTTGATCGATGATTAAAAATAGTTAACTTAATATTTTTATGTCTTCACCGGGATTTTTAGAATCCTCAAAGTCTCAGCTTTAAAACCCACTAATCATTTTTTAAATTACGAAATTTTTTCTCAAAATTTTCAGCGCCCCCAACTCAAAATCCCGTTTTTTTTTTTTTGCGAATTCTCCATGTTTAAATTTAAAAAGAGACTTTGAGCTACAATTTTTGTAGGAAACTTTTTTTTCAAGAATTAGTATAAAAATTAAATGTATTACTTACCGAGAATTTACCAGAAGCTGTGGTGTATTTTCTGTATTTAAATCTCCACAATTTATACTCAACCTTATCAAACTTTCCCAGGAAATAGCGACATTTAACTAAACAATAAAGCCTTTTGAATTGTTCTAAAATTAACTTAATATTTTTATAAGAATCTTAAATAAAGTCTGTAATAAAAAACAATTCACAATCTACACAATAAAAATATGTGTGTATTCAATAAAACAAATATTTGTCTACGTAATTTTAAATTTTTTTTAAAAATAAAAACAATTAATTATTAAACATATTTATTTCTTGGCATAAACTCGAGAAAAAAATGAGTAATTTTTAACTCAAAATAACACTATTGACAATCAAATTAATTAGTATTATTATTAATATTAATATTATTACAATTATTTATTAAATAGTTAATTTAACGACCGTATCCGGTATCAGCGATTGGTTGGACCTTTTGTTGGATTATTTTTCCGTATCCTCCTCGGCCACTGTCGAAATCTGATCTGTATTCATCTCTTACCTAAAATAATAATAATAATAATAATAATAATAATAATAATAATAATAATAATTGTGAAGTTATACATAGAAAGAATGAAATAACAATAGATATCATCCCAGATTATACTCAGTGATATCTGTAGTGAAAAAAAATTTCAAATAGTAACTTAAAAAAATCCAGATTAAAATACGTAATATCTGGATAATACTCATTATTATCTGGATTATACTCATTATAATCTAGATTGTACTAACGAATATCTGAAATTTTTTTATCACTCAGTATAATCTAAGATGATATCCAGTGTCATCTTGTTCTTTCCATGTAGACCTATAATATACAAACATTTTTAATACAAAATTTCTTATTTTAAATTTATAAAAACTCACTTGTCCACCAGTTTTTCCTCGTCCATACTGTCTCCCCTCGATGAATCCCGCGTCCCAGTCAGTTCTAATAATTCTGTCGTCCAACCTGGTGCCGTTGACGTACCGCATGCAGTGCTCGGCGTCGACTCTGAGGTAGTACTCCATAAAGCAGAACCCGCAGGGCGTCTTTTTGTACTTGTCCAGGCCCATAACAATGCGCTTAATGTCTCCGCATTTGCTGAATAATTCGTAGATCTGCTCCTCCGTGGTGTAGAAAGACAAATTTCCGACGTAGAGGGTCGTTGATGTTCGGAGCAAACGGTCTTGTTCGGCTCTTGAACCCTGTAAGGTATTTAAATTTAATTTTTTTAATTACTAAAAATTAATATTAAAATTTGTTTTTTAATAATTTATCTACCAAAAAAAAAAATATTTAGTCAAAAAATCATAATAAATTAAATAAAAATTTTTTTTTATTTTTTTGTAATAAAAAAAAATTATTAAATTTTTTTTAATGTCGGCTAACTTAATTTTCATTTTTAGAAAATATTTTTTGTCATTGATAAGTTAAAAAAAATTTTTTTTTTTTTGATTTTAGTATCAATTATTATAAATAATAATAATAATAATAATAATAATAATAATAATAATAATAATAAATATTGAAATCAGCTGATTTATTTTAATCTTTAAAATTATTGAAAAAAATTTAATTTTCACATCAGCTGATTTTAGTATATTATAAACAAAACGTCATTAATGACTAACATGATTTTTTTTTATAAATTTTTAAGAACAAAATTTATCTAAAAATATTAAAATTAAAAAACTAATTCGAAAAAAAATAATAATAAATAATTAACCTTGAAATGTTGGTCGCGGTAGGAGCTCAAATCAACTGACGGAGATGGCAGAGACATTTTCCTTGTGATTTTCTTGCTTAATATATAAATCTTATATATTTCTCAACTTATATCTCTCTAATTAAATTATTGACGTCCACTAATTGTTTTAATTGATTAAAAACGTTGGAAATAAAAATTAGAGTAACTTTTTCACTACCACGCTTGTCATTTGTTATTGGACACGTCAGCCATTTTGATACAAACTGTGACGTGTGACTATAGTTTGAATACTGTGAAGTAGTTTTGACAGCCGCCGGTAGATGGCGGGTAATTTTTGTTACTAATTTAAAATTTAAATAGAAAATTTATTTAGCAGATATTTAATAATTTATGTTTAAAATTTTAATAAAAAAATTCTTTAGTTAAAAATTACATATTTGTATTTATAATAAAATTAAAAAAATTGTCAGATATCATGATTTAATTTACATTTTTAAAATAATTAAAATTAACCTACAAATTAAAAAAGTTATCAGGTAAGATTTAAATATTTTTTTTTATCAACACTAAAAATTAAATTTTTCCTAAAAAAATTATTAAAATAATTAAATATCTGCTAAATTTCTTTTTATAAAATTTACATTAATTATCTAAGATATTAATAATAATTGCACATCAGACTTTTGAACAATCTTAATTCAAGAAATTAAAACAAATTTTTTTTAGTGAAAAATATTTATTAATACAAAATATTACAGCTATAGAATAATTTTAAATTATTCAAAAATATATAAAAAAAAAACTTTATTCTAACGCAAATATTTTAACAAAAAATAATATTATTTATAAAATGCGCTGATAAACTTTTTCAGTTGACGATTATCCAAAAACTCAACAATCAGCAGAACAATTTCAAACGGTAGCGGTATAGCCTGCCAGAGATTGGCAACCTTCTTGAGCTTGTCCATTAACTCGCTCCTTTCTTCAACCAGATTATAATCAATATTTGAGTGGTACTCAGTGGTATTACCCATGAGTGGTACCCATACTCATCTTCATCATCAATCCCGTCAAACTGTCCGTCTTCATCATCCAGCTCATCCTGAAGCTCGATCATGAAACTCTTCAGCTCCTCCAAATTATAAACTTTTCTACGAATGAACAGCATTTTGGCAACTTCAAGAAAAGAACTCTCACCAGCATTCCTCTCCTTTAAGAACCCTTCAACAAACCTTTGCTGAAAGCCCTGAACAATCCCGCGGATATGATCATCTTTCTTCACCAACTCACATATCCATCAGCTTGATTTCTTCTTCAGGCACAAACAACCCAAGAGCGCGTTTCAGCACCAAGATTTTCAAGATCCACCTGGTGGAAATCTCTTTTACTGTATCTAGGTCAAAGTCTCCATCAGCCCGCGGGACTGAGGATCAACTGGCATTGTCACGTACTTCAAGGGTCTACCTTCTTTGGTTGACCTTTCAAGGTTGAACAGAATCTTCAGCATCTCATAGCAGCCATGTTGACCAGCAACGTATCAGGGTCTCCATTGATGACCATGGCATCAACATCAGCCCCAGCATTGATCATCATATCTGAAGGAAGTTACTACTATGTGGATTGTTTCCAATAAACCTTAACTGTCCGAACTTGCTCTGGTGCAGCATATAGTTAAAAACATACAGCCCAGCATTATCCCTAGCATTCAATAGCTTTTCATCATACATCATAAATTCTCTTTGACAAGCAACGTTATAATGGTCCTTCTCAACAGCGTACATCAAGAGTGTATTGTTCCTAGCACTTGGAACATCAACACTAGCTCCATGATCAAGCAAGTAAGATGACAAAAGACATTGATTGGTCAGAGTAGCGAAGGTCAGCAACGACATCTTGCTAAAGTCTTCGCACCACTGACAATCCTCGATATACTTTGCCAGGACTTCTTTGCTGAGAAACTTGCGTTTGCATCAGCACCGGATTTCAGCAGGAATTCCAGGACATCCAGGTGTCCTAGGAAGCTGGCCAGGTGGATTGGTTGGACTCCGTCATCTGCTAGAGAATTTACATCAGCTTGGTATAGTCCTGGACCAGCTGGTTATTCACTATGTCCAGCCGGTTTTTGGCAGTGGCCCAGTGCAAAGCGGTGTAGCCTGAAGCTGGTCCGGTTTTTGATAAGACACTGTTAACGTTCAAGCCTCGGGACATTATTAAATCTGACACCATCTGGCTTGTTTTCTATCACTGCCACACGCGTAGTAGCACACGGAATTGTCCATTTTGCTGCAACTGATGAGTTTAATATTTTTTTTAATTTTTTTATTTTATTCCTTACTTACCATAGAATGAATTTTTGTGCTATTTTTAGGGGTGCGTTCCACCAACTGACGTCAACTGTTTTTTAAACTCAGCTGTATATAACACAAGTAACGCCATTTGACAGCGTGGTATATAGCCAATAAGCTCTCAAGCATGCATGGTAAGTTAGTATTGATATTAATTATAAACTTTGTTTCTTCTTCGGGAACAATTAAATTATTTAAAGAATGTTTATAAAAATTAAATAGTTAAAAAAATTGACAAATATTAGCTGATTTTAGTAATGTTAATAATAAATAACAATTAAAAAAATTCCCGCCAAAAATTCAAAACTCAAATGCCACTAAATCTTTTTGATAGCTGCGCAGTCTCAGCATCTGCGCAATAAAACCCCAGTCGCTCCGCCATGACACATTCAAAATACAGTACTATAGATGTGCAATTAGACTGTAGCTGTCGTCAAGCTATAGCCCCCGAATAAAAATCGACAACAATACAAACTAAAAGTTAAAAGCAACGGAGAAAGTAAAATAAAAAAGAAACTCTAAAAGCAAAACCATCCAGATGATTCCGGACTCGGAAGGATGGCGACAGTGGGTGCGCGAAAACTAGCCCCGGAGGCTCGTGAACCGGGACCTGGAGCTCGACGGCATCACCCAGTAGATGACCTCGGGCAGTCAGCGAGGCCAGGAACTCCCCTGAAGGCACGGCGCCGAGGAAAAGTCTGCCCGGAGGACTCCCCAGGCCTCGCCATGTCCAGATTCCTCGACGCCCACCACCAGGAACTCGAGGACGAGTGCGGCTCCCTCGATGAGCTCCAGAACATCCAGAGCGTGATCAACGTCACCCGCCAGAACATGGACGCCCTCACTAGCAAGTTCGCGAACTTTCTCCAGCCGCCGGCGATCTACCTCCTGGAGTACTCCGAGCTCACAAGCAAGCTTCACGAGCTGGAGCTCAAGCAGCAGCAGCTCGTTGATAAGCTCACCGCTGCTGGCTATCAGGATGATGTTCTTGAGAGGTACAGATGCCCCAGGACTCCCCTCAGGTCTCTTCTTCGCGCTCATCTGCCCAATCAGCAGCGCACCAGTGTTCAGGTTAGTTTTTTTTTCCTCTTGGCTATCATAATTTTATTTTAAATTATTTAATTTAATATTTGGATGAAAATATTATTTTTAAGTATTAATTATTGAGTTTTTTTTTTTTTTTTTTTTTTCATTTTTCAGTTATTAAGCTTTAATCTATAAAAATCTGGATAAAATTTCAATAATTAGGTTCTAATTATTGGTGACATATTTCAAGAAGGCTAAAAAAAAAAAATTCTTTTCTCCGTTAAAATTCGGATTTCTGTTTGAGAATCATCATCATCTAATTTTTTCATGGTTTGGACTCGTAAGAATTACGAAAAAAATCATCATTAAATAATTCCGAATTTTACTATAAAAATAAAAATAATTTTGAAAAAACAGATTTTTTTTTTTTTTAATTCTCGAATACCGTTTGAGTTTTACGAGCTAAAAATTGATGTGAATTATTTTCATTCGACTCCCTAAATATAAATCAAAAAAGCCATGGGGGCAGAATTCCTATATTAATTCGGCTATATCCTTTATTCGTATTTGATTTGTCAATTTTTGTATATTTTGTCCCGATATTAAGTTTCTATCATGTTAAATTATCTCAAAATTCTAACTATCAGCCTCAAATAATAAAATTTTAACTAATATTCTTCTAATTATATATTCATAATTAGCTAAAATGATTATTAAGAATAAAATTGATTATCTGTATAAATTGTAATTTTTATACCAAAGTATTGCGTTGTATATTTTTAAAATTGTAAATAACTGATGCTAAATAATAAATCATTTATTGAAAAATCTAAACAATAAATCCCTGACTAAAAATTCTAATTCCAGGTGAAAGAAGGAATGGCCCTGCGAGACGCTCTAGCAAAAGCGATGAAGTTGCGCAATTTGACCACAGAAATGTGCGGCGTGTACATAGTAGGCGCAAACAATTCCAAGTACCCAATCCCGTGGGACACGGACATCTCCTCCCTGGAATGCGACGAGATATCCGTAGAAATTCTGGACAAGTTCCCAATCACTACATCAATCAGCCACAACTTTGTCCGGAAGACCTTCTTCAGCTTGGCGTTCTGCGAGTGCTGCCGCAAGCTGCTGTTCCAGGGTTTCTACTGCCGAACTTGCAACTACCGGTTCCACCAACGATGTGCCAACGGAGTTCCGGCTCTGTGCACCCAGTCCCGAATGCAGGACGCGTATTACCAAGCTCTGCTGGCACACAACCCTGAGACAACTGCGGGAATCTTGCAGCTTCCTTCAAGCTACGCTTTGGCGCGTCATGCACCCCTGGCTCCTCGGCGGCACCCAAGAACGCTGAACCAGCAGGACCGAAGTTCCTCAGCTCCTAACGTCTGCTGCAACATGATCAAGCCCTGCGACTCCGAAGACTTGCGTTCTCACCAGCGAACTTTCCTTTCCTCGGGGCCGATTTCTCCCGGGAGCAGTCCTACGAAGCACAGCCAGTCGACCCAAGCGTCCCCGACGAATACTTTGCGGCCCAAGCGGCCCCGAGCCAGGTCCGCTGATGAATCTTCCAAGAATCTTCTGGCTCCAAGGGAGTCCATCGAAGACTGGGAGATTCCTGCTGATGAAATCCTGATCGGGGCCAGGATCGGCTCCGGCAGCTTCGGGACTGTTTATAAGGCCCACTGGCACGGACCAGTCGCTGTTAAGACCCTGAACGTTAAGATTCCGACCAACTCCCAGCTTCAAGCGTTCAAAAACGAGGTCGCTGTTCTGAGGAAGACCAGGCACGTCAATGTCCTGCTGTTCATGGGCTGCGTCAGCAAACCCCAGTTGGCAATTGTCACTCAGTGGTGCGAGGGCTCCTCATTGTACAAGATGCTCCACGTAGACGAGACTGACCTTCCCTTCCAGACTCAGATCGAGATCGGTCGGCAAACCGCCCAGGGAATGGACTACCTCCACGCGAAGAATATCATCCATCGGGACCTCAAGAGCAATAATATTTTCCTGCATGACGACATGACCGTCAAGATCGGAGACTTTGGACTGGCCACTGCCAAGACCAGGTGGGCTGGGACTCAGCAGTTCAACCAGCCCACGGGGTCAATTCTTTGGATGGCGCCGGAGGTTATCAGAATGCAGCAGGAGAACCCTTATAGCTATCAGTCTGATGTCTACGCTTTTGGGATTGTCATGTTCGAACTGTTTGCCGGACAACTGCCCTACAGCAACAACAGCAAGGACCAGATCTTGTTCCTCGTTGGGTGCGGACGTCTTGTGCCTGATCTTAATAAATTACGTGCAGACATGCCCAAAGTTCTTAGAAGGCTAATTGAGGACTGTATAAAATTTTCTAGAGAAGACAGACCTATCTTCAGGCAGATCTTAGCGACCATTGAAAGCCTAGTTCAAGGGCTGCCTAAGATCACCCGGAGCAAGTCTGAGCCGAACCTTGGGTGCACTAAAGTCCAGTCAGATGATTTCTTGTATAATCCTTGCTCCAGTCCCAAGACTCCGGTTAATTATCAGTATGGAGCTTTTCCCTTTTGTGGCGGGAATATTTAGTTTCTAGCCAGCTGGAGGTGGACCAGGGCGGAAAATTATCAGTGGGCAAAGTGTTCCTGGACTGTTAAGGGGCAATAGTGCGGTTCTAATTTATCAAAAAATATTTGACTGTCTGAAGATAGATAGTAGATAGATTTTGAAAAGGATTTTATGCTATTGAGAAATAGCAGGGATTATTTGTAAATATTTTATTAAAGAGTGCGGGGATTCGTCTCGGGACCACTCTACTGTGAATGGCCTAATTATGTGGCGGACTCTAGTGGTAATTTTGTTTATTGAAGATTGTCATTTTTTGAGTAAGATCAAGATTTTTAAATGAAATTATGGTGTCTTATTTATTATTTATTTATGCGAATACGACTGAATAGCTAAATGTTTTAAAATAATAATAAATACGTGGAGATACTTAAGTATAAATATTATAATATTATAATTATATTACAGTTGTCGATATGTAACATCAAAACTAATTAATAAATTTAATCTTCGCAAATTTTTTTGATTTTATTTTTTTTATGTACTAAATTTTTTTTTTTTTCAAACAAATGGTAAGTAAGATTTTTTTTACAAGTATTAATTATATTAATTAAAATTTTTTAATAGATCATTAAAAATTTTAATAGAGTATAAAAACTTGATAACAAGTTTCTTCTAATTAAAAAACTGATAATAAAAATTTTTATTAAAAAAATAATTACAAAAAAATTTTTTTTAATTTAATTTATAAAGAATTTGAAAAACTATAAGTGCAATTAAAAAAAAAAAATATTTTTTATTTTTAATTTAAATTGAAAATTTAAATTTTCCCGCGATTAGTTAAAACTCCCGCCACTAGATGTCTCGGCATGTGACAGATGTAGCGAGTGTAGCTTAATTTAGTCAATGTCGAATCTTCCACGGCAGATGTTCCACTTACATACTTAACTGTAGTACAAGACTTACTTTATTTACAAATAATTACAAAAATTAACAAATATTTACACTTAAATAAATTACCGCATACTTACACTTGTCTCTCGGTAAAAACAAACAACAACACTTTTAAATAATAAAACAAAGTATTTTTAATGAGTGATCCACTTCTATTCGACATAAAAAATCATAACAATAATAATAATAATAATTATATTATATATTATTGACTTAACATTTAAGTGTAATTGGATTTTAACCCCAAGGGCGCATTATTTGATTTTAAAATTAGTGACCTTACAGGTGGGTAATTTTTATTTATAAAAATTAAATTATTAAAAAATTTTTGTAAAAAATAAAAGCAGAAGAGTGCAATTTTTTAAAAATATTTTTTTGTTTTAATTTAATTGGAGTAAATAATTTTTGTATCATAAAAAAATTTAGAATTTCTTTAAAAGATTATCAACGAGAAAGAATTATATCGGACCATTTTATAATTTAAATTAATGTTTTAAACAGTAACGTTGTAGGACCTAGTTTCTGACACTCTTAAATTTCTTGTGTAGTAATTTCTGACACTGACGGCCTAGATTCTGACACTCATTTAGAAAAATTATTCATTATTGATTAAGTTTACATTATTTAATTAAAATAAAATAAAATCATGCAATAAAAGATAAATTAAACTTGTATTATAATTAAAACACTTTTTTTATGTTAAAAAAAAATTTTAATGTTAATTTGACTCTACGATTATAAATAAAAGCATATTATTATAATATATTAAGTATAATAAATATTTCATTGACAACGTCAACAACGAGATAACCTTGGATAATAGGTGTCAAATTCGGGTGTCAATAACTGCGGCGTTCTTAAAAAAATCCACCCAGTTATTGACACCCACATTTTAATACATAAATGTCATTTAAAGTGATATATTATAATTAAAAACTAAATAATGTATAATAATTTACTAATTTATATAGTTTTCATTATATTTTTATGATAAATAGTTGATTGATTGGATAGACGAACGCTCTTACGTATACTGCTTAAAATATAGCTTAAAAATTGCTTCCACAGTCACTCAAGACTTGAAGAATTTTTTTTAAGTTATTTTTTTTTTTTTTTTCACGGTTGGAAATATAATTAATTACGTTTTAATTAATTTTAATTTAAAAAAAATTTATAAAACTATTTAATGAAATGTTTTTTTTTTTTTTATTCAAAATAACGTTAGAAGTGTCAGTAACTGGGTCTTAGACTTATTTTTTATTTTGTTCCAGGGAAGAATTTAAGGATCGAATTTTTCAACGGAACCACAAATGCTAGAGACGGAAAAGAAGAACAGGAAAAATCAGGACACGGGCTGATTGCCAGGATTTTATTTTACCGAAAATGGATTGGCTATCTTTAAGGTAGCCGAATCCTGACGTTAATTTATTTAAAACGAGAAAGAAGATAGGAGCTGGTCTCTACTCGCAAATGTTCGAACTAGTCAAAAATGTAAATAATTCTGGTTTCGGGTTTTGTGGTATTACTTCATTGGAATTTTAATAGGAGCCAGTGGTAGGTCCAATAGGAGCAGGATGGGTTGCGGTCAGAGTAGGATTGGGAATATTTATTCTAAGAATAAGAAGAACAAGAGTAATGCTTCCAAGAAAAATGATTTTCGTGAGTATTTTCTTTTTTTTTATTCATTAATTTTTTTTCAATCAAAATTTTAAAACCGAATTAAAGAAGAGACTCTAAGCTACAATTTTTATTTCAAAAACTTTTTTTTGATCAATAGGAGCCGCGATAAAAATTATTAAATAAAAAAATTCTAAATTTTTTCCAAATTTTGGAAATAATTAAAATTTTTTATTAAAAAAGAGACTCTTAGCTAAGATTTTTGTTTCAAACTTTTTTTTTTTTGACCAATAGGAGCCGAGATATTAATTATATAAAATTAATAAAGTCAGAATTTTTGAAGTTTCTAAACAATAGAGTTATTTTTATGAGTCAGAGTGGTTACTTGAAAAGAAAAGTCTGTGGGGTCACTTATGTCCTTATCAGTTATTGTGAAATGCATTTTTTTTTTTTTTCCCGCTGATACCGGAACTGATAACTGTGATAATTGTATCCCACTTGACAAACAAACTACTTGTTGACGTTTATTTTTCGACTGTTAACCTTGGATATTATTAAGCCATCATATATAGACTTAATAAAGCTTTAATTGAATTTTTTATGGAATTTTAAGTCACCAAAATTTGAATTTTTTAAACTTCATTTTTTTTTTTTTTTTTTTAATTTTTTACTGCAAGTAAAATAATAATAACTTTTTTTCTAATAAAAATTTTAAAACCTGGTAAATTTAATCTTAAAGATTAAACTTTTATCTACAACTTTTGTTCCAAAAATTTTTTTCTACGACCTAAATTTTCTTATATAAAAATTAACAGTTTAAAATTTTGGAGCAACTTTTAGTCATAATTTTTTTTCTAATTAAAATTTTGAACCCAGATAAATTTTTTCTTAAAGATAAAATCTTTACCTACAAATTTTGGTCCAATATTTTTTTAAAGATAAAAAAAGTCAAAATTTTTCAAATTTTGACAACTTTTCAAGAAAAATAATTTTCTAATTGATTTAATGAATAAATAATAAATAAACCGGCACTATTATGTTACATATATCTAGAGTAGCCTAAATAATATCAACAGAATAGAAATAAACATGCGCAGTAAGCGGAGCTGCGTAAAAGCCGGCGTGGAGCGTAAACAACATTATTATTTGTGAAATTACGTATGAATTTAAAAACCGTTTCAAGGATCACAGTATGGTTGAGCAAAGCTATATAAATATATATGTTAATAATACGGGCCAATATTATCACTCACGATAGTACACCGGCGCCGACAATCTATTACGTAGATGTTAAGAACTACGTGACGATGATCGCGTCCCACATGCTCAATTTATTTTTAACCGACGTACTTTCAGTCAACAATCTGCTTCAATAGCGTCCAGACGCACTTAAATATTAAAAGAAAAAAAAAAGTCGCTAAACTGATAAGAAACTTTTTAATTTTTGCGTTTTTACAAAAGTGTTTAAGTTTACTTATTTTCTTTGGATTAAAAGTGAAAAATTTCGAAAATTAAGAAGCTAGTGGTGATTTCTGGGATAAAAAATTACTCCTTCGTGATCCTGGGTTCCACTAGTGAGAAACTTAAAAAAACTAAGTACAAAATAATGTGGTTAAAAATATTACGCCAGAATATATCGCAATTGGCGCGCAGAGCTAGAGGTACTTGTTTTAAAACTCTGTTACTTTTTTTCTAATTAAAATTTTGAAAATAAATTAATTTTGTTAGAAAGTTAAGAATTTTGGATACAATTTTTGTTTAAAAAGTTTTTTGTCTGGCCAATAGAAGCTGAGATATTAATTATTTTATTGAATTTTTGATAGTTTCAAAATTTAGGGCAAACTTTAAATATTTATAAGTTTTTAAATAATAAAAATTTTTGAACCGGGTAAAATTTGTCTTAAAGAAGTTATAAGCTACAATTTTTATATCAAAAAGTTTTTTCTAGAGATCTTAATTATTAAAAAGCAATAATATGATCGAAATTTTGAAGTTTTCAAATTTTAAAACTTTGAACGGTGATTAAAATTATTTAAATAATTATTTTTATGTCTTCGCCGGCATTTTTAGAATCCTTAGAGTCTCTTCTTTAAGATATGCTATTAATTTTTTTTATTCCGACTTTTTTTAAAAAAGTTTTCAGCGCCCCCAGTTCAAAAAACCCGTTTTTTTTTTTTTTTTTTTTTTTTTTTTTTTTTTTTGGAATTTACCTTATTTTTGACTTTTAAAACTCCATAACTTTTTTTTTAATCAAAATTTTGGAATCGGGTAAATTTTATCTTAAAGAAGACACTTTTTGCTACAACTTTTGTTTTTAACTTTTATTTTTACGACCAATAGTTTCCAAGATATTAATTATTGAAAATTAATATGGATAAAAAATCCAATTTTTGATTCAAATCTTTGGCCCAATTTTAAATGGCTTTTTTTTTTCTAATTAACATTTTTGAACCGATTAAATTTTATCTTAAAAAGGAGAATTTTTGCTACAATTTGTGTCCATAATTTTTTTATTTTTATAATCAATAGTTTTCTAGATAATAATTATTAAAGATTAATAATAAAAAAAACCATTGATTTTGAATTTCCAAAATTTTGCAGAAAATGAATCATAAAAGAAAAACCTGCTACACATTTTCACGAAACCGGTTTCTCTGAATAATGAAATCAGCTCTCGTGACTTTATAAATAAACTACTAGAATTGTTTAAAAATACAACAGTTCAGCGAATAGCGGCCAAATTTTAATAAAATAATCTCTGTGGTGTCTAATAATAATTAATTTAAATCCGGCAATAACCAGCCTTAATAATTAATAATTAAAATATTAATTAAACCAGAACAATCTAATTAAATCCGGTGAGGATTTATTGAAAACTAACAATGCAATAACTATCAACAGACGCATGCGCCGGACCTTGACGCGTAATCCACAATCCAAAGCCGGATGCGCTAGATTGCCAATTAAAACCGACATTGTATCGATCTGCGTCATCACTTTCAAATCTGACGCACGTAATTTACCGTTATTACTCGCTCCAGGTGCATCTTATAAAAAAAACAACCTTGTCCTGTCGGTGTACTCGCCGAGACCTTTAAAATGAGTACCCACATGCTAAAAAAAATTTTTTTCAAAATTTTTTTTTTCTTATTTTTTTGAGTGGGTACTCATTTTAAAGCTCTTGGTGAAGTCTTTTAAGGATCGAGGTTAGTTTTTTTTTTTTTAATTAACTTGGGAGGAGTTATTATGGATAATTTGGAAAGCTGTTTTTTCCACGATCTCGATTTTGCCACGCGCCGAGCGAATTAATTGAGATAACAAATTTAAGACAAATTAAAATTAAACATTCTTGGACTCGTTGCATGAGTTCATCATCCGCGAGTTAGTAAGAGATCATTAAACCTATTCGCGCGGTTTTCAAAAGTATTTTTAATCGAGACAATGCCTTTGTTTATTTTAAACTTTTAGAGTGTTAATTTTGAAATAAAAATTATTTTTAACAAATAAAATTTTGAATTTTGAATTAAAAGAATTTAGAAATGACCTTGAAACTTTTAGATCGATTTACGGACTAACTGTTGAAGATAGAGGAAAATTTTTTTAAGCTCTTTTTATAGGAAATTTTGTCAGCTATAAAAAAGTACTAAGATAATTTTGTCATATTTTCAATATTTTACATAGAAAATTAACATTAATTGTTACAAACGTTTTTGATCATCTAAAGTTAATAAAACCGTTTAAAAAATTCATAACTTTTGAAGGAATCAAAATTTTAAAGCCAGATAAATTTTGCTTTATAAAGGGAACTGAGAGTTACAATTTTTATCCCAATTTTATATACTAGGACCAATAATTACCGAGATATTAATTATTAAACATTGATAAAATCAAATATTTGAATTTTTCATAGTTTAAAATTTTGATCGAGGATTTAAATTAGATAACTAATTATTTTTATGTCTTCGCCAGCATTTTTATCATCCTCAGAGTCTTAGCTTTAAGACCTACTAAAAATTTTTTGGAAAAAAAAATTTTTTCGCAAAGTTTTCAGCGCCTCCAACTCAAAAAACCCATTTTTTTAGGACCTTACTGCGTTTTTTTTAACTTTAAACGTCGGTAGTTGTTTTTTTACTCAAAATTTTGGAACCGGATTAATTTTATCTCAAAGAAAAGACATTTAGCTAGAATTTTTATCTTGAAAGTTTTTCTCTAGGACCTATAGAAGTCGAGATATGGTTTTTTGAAACAAAAAAAGATAAAAATTTCGGTTTTTCGCCGCGGAAGTAATTATAATTATAAATTAATTAATTATTCGAGGTCTAGGTCGACACCCGGGAACCTTGAGGCTATATATATATCTTAACCGGGTTATCAACGGTGTCAATATTATTGTTTACTTAATTGGAATGAAATGAAAAAAATTGAAGATAATATTAATTAACGAAATTATTTTTTCAGGCTCTGCGACAATTGATCAAAAAAACAGCACTAAGAGCAATAAGACTAATAATAACAACGGAGAGGTTAATCGGAACGAGGATAATGCCGGAGACTGCAAAAATGCTAAAAAAAAGAACGGACCTGGCGGGCCGCTTCTGCACCAAGCGTGAGTTCATCCGTTCACTTTTTATCATGTTTAAAATAACAGTGACTCATAATTATTTTTTTTTCTTTTTCAGTGAAGTGTCTTCAAGCCAGCTGGATTTTTTCCGAATGCTGGATGAAAAAATTGAAAATGTAAGTGTTAAATTTATAAATTATAAGATTGATTAAAAAACCCGAAAAATTTTTTTAAACTTTGAACGATGATTAAAATTATTTAAATAATTATTTTTATGTCTTCGCCGGCATTTTTAGAATCTTTAGAGTCTTAGCTTTGAGATACTATATTATTTTTTTTTATTACAACATTTTTTCGAAAAGTTTTCAGCGCCCCCAACTTGAAAAACCCGTTTTTTTTTTTAAGGAATTTCCCGCGTTTTTAGTCTTTAAAAGTCCATAACTTTTTTTGTAATTAAAATTTTGGAACCGGGTAAATTTTATCTTAAAGATGAGCTTCTAAGCTAAAACTTTTGTCTTAAATATTTTTTTTACGACCAATAGGAGCAGAGATAAAAATAATTCTTGTTCCAGGGTCCAGACTACGACGAAACTTCGGACGGAACAGTGAAAGCCGAGCGAATTTCAGAGCTGCTCCGCCGCTGGGAGACGGCCAGTATTACGTGGTCGAGTGTAACAGACCTGTCGTCACCCAGCATGGGAAACTTCACCTTGACGAGTGCGCCTGTCCTGGGAATTGGCAGCGAGACGCGTCACGCGGCCATTTTGTCGGCACGCGACCGCGAGGGAATGCGTAACATAATTGGCGGGCGGCCCGAATCCGCCCCGGTCTACATCGCGAATCGCCTGGACGGACTCCCCTCCACAAGTCCCCCCTCTCCGAAACTCTCTCGGCATGTCCTGGAGTCGATAAGTCAGAGTCCGACTCAGTCGGCAAAAGTCGAGCCGGTAAAATCTCCGCCGGTAAATTACCGAGCGTCGTTCTCCGCCGAAGAGGGAATCGAGGAGGAGGTGAAGCTCTACCGCGAGCAGTATCTCCAGCAAACTGGGATTATTTATCAGAATAACAATAATAACAATAACAATCACAATATCCTGAGGAACAATCAGATTAATTTGACTCCGACGCGCAAGCGCCTCAATGCTGCCCAAATCACGTGACCTACTTTGTTCTTCGACCATTTTGAGATTAATAGACTGATGATTTTCTTCGCTGGAGGTTAAATCCCCGAGCCAGGGTCTAAGGGGTATTTTTTTTATTTTATTTTCATTTTCGGATGAGAAAATTAATTTTTATTTCAAAAATGGTTTTATGGTCTGCACTGATTTTGGAGAAAAATTTGTAACTTTTTTTTGGAATTTTAATTAAAAAACCGGATAAAGTTTTTTTTAAAGAGAATACTTAAAGCTACAACTTTTATTTAAAACTTTTTTTTGTAAACTTGATGGTCTAGTTAATAAAAATTGATAAAAAATCAAAGACCGGAAAACTTTGACTGAAGATTAAAAATAGACAACTTTTTATTTTTATGTCTTCGCCGGCATTTATATAATAATCCTTAAAGTCTTAGCTTTAAGACCTACTATAAATTTTTTATTAAAAAATTTTTTTCGGCTTGATTTTCAGCGCCCCCAACTTAAAAAACAAATTTTTCAACAATTTTTTGAGTTTTTAGTATTATAAAAATTCATATCTTTTTTTCTAATAAAAATTTTGAAACCGGAAAAATTTTATCTTAAAGAAGACTTAAAGCTATAACTTTTGTTTAAAGTAATTTTTTCTAGGACCAATAATTTATTTAATAAAAATTGCCAAACTTAAAAATCTAAAAAAATTTCTTAAAACTTTAACTGAGGATTAAAAATAGACAACTAATTATTTTTATGTCTTCGCCTGCATTTTTATCATCCTCAGAGTCTCAGTTTCAAGAATCACTGTAAGTTTTATGAAAAAAAAAAAATTTTATCGCCAAGTTTTCAGCGCCCTCGTAAAAAATTTCATCAATTTTCTGCAGTGTATTCCATAAAATCGTTTAAAAAAAAACTTAAACATATCCCTCGGTCCTCCTCAACCCCGTGGAATTTAAAAGAATAAAAAAAAATATTTCGCAAACACCCGTGCCAAAATCAACCACTTTTTGTGTTCTTTTTTTATTTTATTTATCAACAAACAATTACTATAAATATGTGTACAAGTGACTATATCAAATGTATCAGTGTATAAATTTTCGATGTAATTTATTCGTGTATAATTAACCAATCAATTATAAATAAAAGAATATATAATTATAATTATAAAAAATAAATTGAAATGTCAATGTTTTATATTAAATGTTAACTATATATACATAAAAATCAGAGTTTAATAAAATGTAATTGTAATTGTCTATGGAATTAAATGTCTAAATAAATTTACAAGTTTTTTAACTGTTTTATTATGATTAAACCTCTAAGGACGTGTATCTACGGAAGTAATTAAAATTGACCGATCTTTTAAAGTTTTTATTAAAGAGGAGAGTAGTAGCTACAACTTTCGTAGGAAACATTTTTTTCCAAGGCCGCAAGTTTATTTAATAAAAATTGTTAAATTTTAAAAATAAAAATAAAAAAAAATTTTTTAAACTTTGATTGAAGATTAAAAATACAAAACTAATTATTTTTATGTCTTCGCCGGCATTTTTATAATCCTCAGAGTCTCAGCTTTAAAACTCACTGTCAGTTTTTTGAAAAAAAAAATTTTTTTAATAAGTTTTCAGCGCCCCCAACTCTAAAAATCAATTTTTGTCGCAAATTTTCTATGTTTTTCCGACTTAAAAAATTCATAACTATTTTTATAATTGAAATTTTGTCTTAAAAAAGGCACTTTTTATAACAAAATATGTCTAAAAAATCTCAAACAAATTTTTTTTTAATTTAATTATTTATTTAAATTTAAAAAAAAAAATATTTATTCCAAATAAATTATTGATACAGTTTAATAATTTTTTATGTTTTTCTATTTATTTATTTTATTTAACTTATTCACCTTTGGAAATACCAAATACACCGATGTAATCCGGATTTTTATCAGAAGCGTTAGTTTAAAAGCCAACTCTCTGATCTTTATTACGATTTCGCAAGAAATTAACATATTTAATTATTCGGTCAAGCGTTTGTTTTATTGAAATTTTGACAGTTCAGTGAGTAAAAAAACGACAATTCAATCGTGAAATTTTTAAATTGACAGTCTGGAAAAATATTCTTTACTGAATATCGTTTATTTTCAATGATAATAAAGTATATAACGCTTAAATATTTAAATCCAATGGTATCTATTCGCTAAAATATGATTAGATAACATTCAGTATATATATATATATATATATATATATTCTTGCTTTTTTGTAAAAAGCTTTTATATTCAGTGATAAATCCGTCTTTAACATTCTCAGTAATTTTTTTTCTATTATAAATAAACTTTGCAACAAAATTTTGATTAGAAAAAAAGATAATAATTTTTTAAGTACAAAAAACACGATAAACTCCTAAAAAATAGGTTTTTTGATTTGGGGACGCTGAAAAGTTTAAGAAAAAATTTTTTTTCTGCAAAAACTTATAGTGGATTTTAAAGCTGAGACTCTGAGGATTATAAAAATGCCGGCGAAGATATAAAAATAAAAAGTTTACTATTTTAAATCCTCAGTCAAAGTTTTTTAAAATTTTCCAAATTTTTTTCTTCGGGATTTAATAATTTTTATTAAATAAATGATTCGTCTAGAACAAAATAATTTAGACAAAAATCGTAGCTTAAAATGTCCTCTTTGAAATAAACTTAATCTGATGGTTTTTTAATTTTAAAATTTTTAATTAAGAAAATAATTATGGAATTTTAAACTTTGTAATTACTGATTTCAGATCGTAGAATTGGGAAGAAAAATGTCCAAGTTACCAATTTTATTGTTCCTGTTTGCCTTACTTTTCGTATAGTTTATATATGGTCAAGATGAAGGCGAAGAAAATTTGTATTCCAGAAAACGAAAGTGTTAGTAACATTAAATATTTATTCAATTTAGTAGTAAACTTTTTGTTTAAAATTATTAAAATTACGGTATTAATATCGGCGTAGAAATAACGAAACTAATTGCTGTCCGGGTGTGATGTACTGCTATAAATCCTTTTCAGCCGAATATCAAGAACCCTCTACAAATGTTACATGAAAGAAAAAGCCAACCTCCAGTTTAGATGTAACGATTTAAGAAAATTCAATAAACTTTAATTGATATTATGATTATTTGACTCCTGGTTGATTTTAAAAATTAATAATTATATTTCTAACCAAAAATAAAAAATCAGACTGAATTAATCTTAAGGAAAAAAAATTTTTAAATTATTATATCGTAATTTTAATTGGGAAATATTGTTTCAATTGAATAAATAAAATTATACATATAAAATTGTGAAATTTTTGAATGTTTACAGAGTTTATTTAAAAATTTAAGTAACTAAAGAATAAAAAGTTAATTTTGGATGATTCGAGCGTATATGCGTCGATTTCTTACGAAAGTCTGATCAAATCGAGGATAAATATTGGAGAATTTTAATTAAAAATATATATTCGTCATCCGCAAGTTATAAAAAGTAGTAAGTTAATTTTATTACAATAAATTCTATATCTCGGTAACTGTTTTATACAAAAGTTTTAGCTAAAAGTATTTTCTTCAAGAGAAAATTAATTTTGCATCAAAATATTTATTAGAAAAAAAATTAATGGGGGTTTTAAAGCCATAAAACATGGTGAATTTAAAATAAAGATGGTTTTTTCAATTGGGGGCGTTGAAAACTTTGAGAAATATTTTCAAAATTGAAAAAAAAATTAATAGTGTATCTCAAAGTTGAGACTTTAAGGATAATAAAAATCCCGGCAAAGACATAAAAATAATTTTTTTTATTATTTTAAACCATTGGTTAAGTTTTTAGGAACTTATTTTGATTAATCAGTGATGTTTAAAAGTTTGATAATTTTTATTAACGAAACTGTTGGTGTAAAAATAATATTTTAGACAAAAGTTGTAGTTTAAAGTCTCCTCTTTAAGATAAATTTTAACCGGTTCCTTAATTTTGATTAGAAAACAAGTAATGGGGTTTTTGAGTACTCAAAACATGGTAAATTTATAGAAAAACGGATTTTTTAAGTTGGAGGCGCTGAAAATTTTTCGAAAAAATGTCAAATTTAAAAAAATTAATAGTGTATCTTAAAGTAGAGACTTGAAGGATTCTAAAAATGCCGGCGAAGACATAAAAATAATTAGTTGTCTATTTTTAATTCGCAGATAAAGTATTAAAAATTTTTACGATTTTTTTTTTTATTCACTTTCAGAATATAATTTTATAAAAAATGATTTACAAATTGCTATGTCTACTTCTTGGGAACCTGCTGAGCGTATGGTTAACCACTTGCGTCTACAATGATTGTGAATTTTTGCCTGATTTTTTAGATTTAGTGAGTAAAATATCAGAATTTATTTCGAATTAAAGGAATTAATAATTGTAAAATCTAAATTATTTCCAGTGTAACAAGTGTCCTAACAATCAGACATTTGAAGATTCCGAATGTGTCGCAAGTAGTTGAAAAAATTACCGAAAAAAAAAAAAAAAAAACGAAATTGTAGCAATGAACCAATTGTCTTTAATAAATATTTTTATAATTTAATTGATTTTATTTTTATATAATTTCTATATTTAAAATTATGGGAACAAAATAATTTATTTTACAAAAAAATTTTGTCAGAATTTTTCTGTAAAACGTATTGTTGGCTGGTAAAACATTTAAAATAAAAAATTAAACATTTTAATGTACACAAATAAAATTTATTAATTAAAAAATTACCCTAAAATAATTATTATCATTTATAAATTGAGGTATAATATTCTTCTTCAAGGTCATACAAATCTGCAGCCATGTCGTCCCTCAAGGATGCCAATTTTTGGTCACACTCTGCTTGTTTTTGCCTGAAGAGCTTGCTGTTGGTAGCGATCGCCTCGTTCACCGACGGAAAATCGTTTAAAATCAGGTACTGCTTGATATCAGAGACCAGCTTCATCAGGGATTCCCCGGCTCTGACGATATTTGCCGCTCTCACGTGCATCTCGTATGTATCTTGCTCGCACTGCGTCATCCTCGTCAGCTGCTGAGCCTCTGTGTCACCTTTTGCTAACTTTAGGATTCCTAAATTAATTAATTAATTAATAATTAATTAATATCTCGAAAATTATTGCTTAGAGAAAAATTAAAACAGGTAAAAATTGTCAGAAAATTAATTCCAATGACTTATAGGTACTCTATTTACTCAGAATTAAATTTCTGACCTTATTTCACCCCTAAAATTAACGATAAAATTAATAATTTCATAAATTTACACTTTTAAAATTAATTTCTAACCTAAAAATTTTTATAAACAAAATAATTACCTTCAAAATTTTCCAGCATGGATTTAACATCGTCCTTAAGCCTTATTGTGTAAGATTTTAATAAAGCTTCTTTGCTTTGCGGTAAATTACGCACATTACTCATTTTATTACTATTTCTTATAAATATTTAAAAATAAAAAAAAAAAAACCTCTAGTGTTATGTTTACAACGCTTACAACAACAACAACAACAACAACAACAACAACAACAACAATGTCAGCTGCGTACTTACTCAGTAGATAGTATTGCCCCCCTTAATACCCACTGAGTTTTATAATTTAGTTCCAATTTTTGCCACTGGCGCGCAAGTGGAATTCTAGCGCGGGAAAATTTTTAAATTCAAAAGTTATTGATAGAAATTTTTTTTCAAAAAATCTATAGTCGTGTTAATAATTTAAAAAATTACTTGACACTGTTTTTTATTAAAAAACCAAAAAAAAAAAAATTGATCTACGAATTTTCTAAAATTTTTTTTTTATAAATATTTAGTGAAAAGTTACCGGAGAAAATTAAAAAAATTTTCATTTTTTTCCCAAAAAAAATATCTAAAATTTGACTTATGATTAAAAAAAAATTTTTTTTAAATTTAATAGTAAAATTAATAAAAAAAAAAAACGAAAGTTTTCCTCCGGAAAAGCGACTCAACCTTCTGAGGGGTGGGGAGTATCGATTTTCCGAGCCTAGCTGGGTTTATCCTAGTTCCAGTTTCCAGTCTCAGTCGAATCAATATGCCGTGTGTTACTGACAAGTGAAACAGTTTAAAAAAACTACAAAATGACTTTTTCAAGACCAATTTGATTGTTTTTAAAATCAAAAAAATGAAAATGGAGTTGTTTGTGATTTTCGCATTAATTGCCGCGATTTCCGGAAAATTGCCGCCGAGTGACGATAATATTTTGCATATTGGTGGGATTTTTCCTATCGGAGGCGAAGGAGGTTGGCAAGGAGGTCAAGTTAGTATTGACTTGTATTGATTTATTCTAATTAGCTACTAAAAAAATTTTTTTTTTTGTTTTTTAGGCCTGTATGCCCGCGGCTAATTTAGCGCTGATTGATGTCAATAGAGAGAAAAATTTACTGCCAGGATTTGAGCTTAAATTGCATTCCAATGACAGCGAGGTAAGAAAAACATTTTTTTCCTTTTTTTTTTATATTAATAATTCTTTTTATTTTAGTGTGAACCTGGGTTGGGAGCCTCGGTGATGTACAATTTGTTGTACAATGCGCCGCAGAAGCTGATGTTGCTCGCAGGATGCTCCACAGTCTGTACTACAGTTGCAGAAGCCTCCAAAATGTGGAATTTGGTCGTCGTAAGTCTTTCTTCTCTGTTGGCATTTCAATTTTAAGAGATTGAGTGCCCAAATATTGAAAAATAAATTTTTCCCCCAGCTGTGCTACGGAGCTTCTTCACCAGCTTTGTCAGACCGTAACAGGTTCCCAACGTTATTCCGAACGCACCCGAGCGCGACAGTTCACAACCCGACGCGGATAAAACTGTTCCAAAAATTCGGATGGTCGCGAGTCGCCATCTTGCAGCAAGCCGAAGAAGTTTTTATTTCTACCGTCGAAGACCTGGAGACCCGTTGCAAGGAAGCGGGCATAGAAATCGTCACTCGTCAAAGTTTCCTCTCAGACCCCGCCGACGCGGTGAGGAACCTCCGCCGGCAAGATGCGAGGATCATCGTCGGGCTGTTTTATGTCGTCGCGGCCAGAAGAGTCCTCTGCGAGGTTTACCACCAAAATTTGTACGGCAAAAGCTACGTATGGTTCTTTATCGGGTGGTACGAGGACAATTGGTTCGAGGCAAACTTGGACAAAGAGGGAATCACTTGCACTAAGGAACAAATGCGACAAGCCGCTGAGGGTCACATGACCACCGAGGCACTCATGTGGAACCAGAACAATGACACGACTATCAGTGGAATGACCTCGGAGGATTTTAGGCAGAGGCTTAATAAGCAGTTAAAGGAAGATGGGTATGATGTGGATAATAATAGGTATCCTGAGGGATATCAGGAAGCTCCTTTGGCTTATGATGCTGTTTGGTCGGTTGCTTTAGGTCAGTTTTCATAAATTATGTAGAACAATTACGTATTAAATTTTACAGTTATACAAAATTCGTTCCAGCCTTCAACAAAACAATGGACAAACTCTCAAAATCTGGAAAAAGCTTGAAGAATTTCACTTACACCGACAAAGAAATCGCCGATGAGATCTACAGCGCCATAAACTCCACCCAGTTCCTCGGAGTTTCGGTACCTCCCACTTTTTTCTATATTAACCCCGCCCAGTTCCAAACACGCCTCTTTTTAACTTAGAACATGTGACCTGGAACAAAAAAGCGGAGCAATATTCTAGTTCCAACCCTAATATTTGCAAAATAGGGCGTAGTTTGTGCTAGGTCCGTCTATATGATAGGCGGGGCCTGTTCCAACTCCGCCTCTTTAAGGTGTGTCTTGTTCCGACTCCGCCCAATAACCTAAAATTTTATTTTTTAGGGATACGTGGCTTTTAGCTCGCAGGGAGACCGAATCGCTTTGACGCAAATCGAGCAAGTTATCGATGGAAATTACGTTAAACTCGGCTACTACGACACTCAGAGCGACAACCTAACCTGGAAGAACCGAGAACGGTGGATCGGAAGCAAGGTTCCGCAAGATCGAACCATAGTCCGAAAAGTTCTGAGAACCGTATCCACGCCCCTGTTCGCGTGTATGAGCGCATGCTCCGCCCTGGGGATAATAATCGCGATTTTATTAATTTTTTTTAATGTCTGGTTCAGGCACCGGAGAGTTGTCTTATCTTCCCACCCGGTCTGTAACACGATAATGCTCGTGGGGGTGATAATCTGCTTCATCTCTGTGTTCCTCCTGGGGCTGGACGGGAGGTTCGTGTCCCCTGGAGAATACGAACACGTTTGCCAAGCACGGGCCTGGATGTTGTCCATAGGATTCACTTTAGGATTCGGGGCAATGTTCTCCAAGGTCTGGAGGGTCCATCGATTGACCACCAAGACCAAGGCTGACCAAGCGAAGCTTTTCATTGCCAAGCAAAAGGTCTCCAGTGTCCAGAAAAACGTCCAGCCCTGGAAATTGTACACAATGGTCAGCGCGCTTCTTGCTATTGATGTTATCATTCTGGGCGCTTGGCAGGGGCTTGATCCCCTTCAGAGGACTATTGAGGTCTTTCCTTTGGAAGCTTCACCTCATGGAGATGATGATGCCAAGATCAGTCCAGAGCTGGAGCACTGCGAGAGTCAAAATAACAGCATTTGGCTGGGACTCGTTTATGGCTACAAGGGCATTGTCCTAGTTTTTGGACTGTTTTTGGCCTATGAGACCAGGAGCATCAAAGTCAAACAGATTAACGACTCCAGGTAGGTCCTTAAAGTCTTCTCTTGATGAAAAAGTTGATTTGGTTTCTTAATTTTGATTAGAAAAAAAGTTATGAATTTTTAAATGCCAAAAATATGGTAAAATTATGAAAATACGGGTTTTTTGACTTGGGGGCGCTGAAAACTTTGTCAAAAAAATGTCGAAATATCAAAAATAAATAGATATTCTGAAAGATAAGACTCTGAGGATTCTTAAAATGCCGGCGAAGATATAAAAATAATTAATCTACTATTTTTAATTCCCTAGATACGTCGGGATGTCAATTTACAACGTAGTGATCCTCTGCCTAATAACAGCGCCAGTAACAATAGTAATCGCGAGCCAACAGGACGCGAGTTTCACCTTCGTGGCTCTGGCGATAATCTTCTGCTGCTTTTTGAGCATGGCGCTGATCTTCGTCCCGAAGGTAATCGAAGTAATCCGACACCCGAGAGACAAAGCCGAGTCAAAGTACAATCCGGACATGGGAATGTCCAAAGAAGACGAGGAACGGTACCAGAAACTCGTTAACGAGAACGACGAGCTCCAGAGACTGATTGCCCAGGTACGACAAAATGACCGTCGACACAAAATGGCGGACGTTGAATTTTTTTTTCTGGTTATTTAGAAAGAAGAAAAAATAAAAGTCCTGAAACAACGGCTGGCCGAGAGGGACGTCGCGAAAGGAGTCGCCTTTGCTCCAGGTGGCGCTGCTGCGGGCGGTAATGTACCAAAAGACTCGCTGATTGTCGCGGACTTTGTTACCGGCGAGGGGACCTCCGACAGCGCGATCGGTGGGGGCATTTCTGTTTACACGAGATCCTCACGTGCATCTGCATCTGATTTTGAGTTCTCTGAGTCGTATCTTTAATTTTTAGTATCTGCACTCCCTCTTTCATTATTAACAATAATGTGTGTCAATTTTTTTTTATCTAATTATTTGGATAATTGACCAGGAAAATAGAACTTGAGGACTTTATTGGGGCTAAAATATACTCAAGTGTTCTTGGTCAATTATTTTAGTAATTACTGAGAAGAAAAATTGAAAAAGTGTATTAATAGGCCTATATATACTGTATTTTTGTGTGTTTAAAATACGAAAATACCGCGACCTAAAAATCCTATTGATTTTGATATTTTTTTAAGACACTAACATAATAAGTACAATATTTATAATTTTTTGGGTCCAAATGATAACAATCAGCGAATTTTTAATTATACATAATGATCATTAATATATTACTTTTTTTTTAGCGTCTTCCGGTAGATGGATAATGCATGGCACGCCCTTTTAGTTCTTACGCTAATATTAATTATTATTAATTGGGACGTCTTGAGGAATTTTCTTTAAATTTCTCAGTTGTAGCTTAAAATGTCCTCTTTGATTGGAAAAAAAGTTATAAATTTTTTAAGTACTCAAAACATGGTAAATTTATAAAAAAAAAAAAAAAAGGGATTTTTTGAGTTGGGGGCGCTGAAAACTTCCTTAAAAAATGTCAGAATATTAAAAATAAATAGATATTCTAAAAGCTAAGATTCTAAGGATTCTTAAAATGCCGGCGAAGACATAAAAATAATTAGTTGTCTATTTTTTATCTTCGATCAAAGTTAAAATTTTCTCACGACGTCCAACACAAAAATTCTAGATCCATTTATTTAATTAGCGCATGTTTATTTCTAGCGCCAATTGCAGTTAAATCTCGTTAGATTGTCGATCGCAGATAACAAAATACCAGAAAAATTATAATAAATCTGTAAACCTCATAAAAAATTCCCAAATTATAAATAAAAAAAAATTCGAGACCTAACGAGATTTAAGCAGCTTTAGAAAATATTTTTACCATTCATAAATTTGGGATTTTTATTGAGGTAATTAAAAGTTGTAATTAATAAATTAATTTATGAATGGAAAAAATAATCAAGAGTAATTAAAAAAAAAAAATTTTTTTTATTAATTTTCTGATTTTAGAGACTGATCACCTCGGATAGAACGCCGCTGGAAGCCTGTTACAATATTATTATTATAAATAATAAATTATTTTTAAGTTATATCGACAATCTCGTTAAAATAATGATTTAACTGCAATTTTTCGTCAATTAGCCTTGTTAGAATTAATTATTAAGTTTAAGATAAATGTTGAAGAAAGTATTCGTATATATATATGTATATAAATTATTAAAAAAAAAAAAAAAAGATAAAAAATTTAATATGTATTTTTTATTTCAATAATAATTATCGACACACTGATTACACACTTAAGTATAGACAATATTCTTAAAAATTAAAAATCTATAATTAAACAATAACATAAATGAATTTCTAAATTAATATACAAATAAAACATTGAAACAAAATACTTACAGTTTTAATAAATAATTCCGGAATGAAATTTTCTTCATTCTACACTCAATACTTCAATGATTAATAAATAAAAAAAAAAAAAAAAAAAAGTACCTTGGAAAATTAATATATATCACATTTTTACTAATAATAATTAAAGTAACGCGAATAATAATCATAATCATTATTTTAGAGCTGAAGCTCACGGATTTTGTTTGTATAAATGTAGAAAATTTTATTAAAATTTTTGAAGCCTGTTTCACAAGCATAGATGGCGTCGGAGGTCGAAAACTCTGTTATTAGTCGATAGAGCGGGAAAAAAATAAAAAAAGCTTTAAATTAATTCGAAAGCTTAATAAATTTTTTGATAATCATAAAAGAATTTAATTTAAAAATAAAATCTGGAGTTTAGATAAATGTGAGAGCTTTCGACCGGAAGTGACTGGAACCCCGAAAGCATTCGGTGAAAAATGAATTTAATAAATACCATTAATTATTTTAAGTAGATAAAATCTTAATCTACTTTGGCAGAATAATTATATTAATCTACGATACCTTATCAATAAAATATGAATATCGATTATACAATTATCGATCACTCGAACGGAATAATTTATCGTGTAAAATACTTCGAAAAAGTTTATGCTGATAAATAATTTACAAACGCAAGTCTCGACTCTCGGCAGTTAATAATCGATAAGCTTAATCTAAGGGTTTATTATTAAATGCTTATGGAATGATTTAACGAATAAATAAGAGGAAATTAGGAAAAGATCCCGTTATCCTGCGGAATAAATAATAAGTGAGCTTTTTGACTGGGAAGGGAGGGGACAAATTTAAATTTCGCGGTTAATAGAGGAGGTCCGCGGTTGCCTCAGCGCCCCAGGCGGCTGATTCCGAGCTTGGCTCCTCGACTTCCGGAGGTGGCTCCTCTGGTGGTGGATCAGCCTCGGTAGGTGGCGCCACCGTTCGGGTCACTCCGAGTTCAAATGTTTCCGCGGTAAAGTCCATTTTTGTTGGTGTGAAGGAGGCCAGGCCACCGCCACCTTTAAAATTTAATTATTTGTTAATTTTTTTTTTCTAGAAAATTTTCTAGAAGTTATTAAAAAATTCTATGACTTTGTGGAATTATTTTAGGACCATGTAGGAGCGTTAAAAAATTCTAGAACCTTCAAAAATTATTCTAGAATCATTAACGAGTGTTTAGGAATGTTTAAAAAAATTTTAGGGCCTTCCACAAACATTCTAGGACCATTGGAAAAGTTTTAGGAGCATCAGAAATAATTCTAGAACTTCTAAATAATATTCTAGGACCTTTCAAGAGTATTTAGGAGTCGGAAAATATTCTAGGACTTCGTAGAAACATCTTGGGACCATCTAGGAATCTAAAAAAAATTCTAGGACCATTGGAAAATTTTTAGGAGCCTCAGAAATAATTCTAAGACCTTTCAGGAGCGTCTAGAAGGGTCGGAAAAAATTCTAGGACTTCTCACAAACATTTTAAAACCATCTAGGAGTCTAAAAAAAATTCTAGGACCTTTGAAAATCATTCTAGGACTTTTCAGGAGTGTCTAGGAGGGTCGGAAAAAATTCTAGGACCTCCAAAAATTATTCTAGAATCATCAAAAAGTGTTTAGGAATGTTTTAAAAAATTTTAGGGCCTTCCACAAACATTCTAGGACCATTGGAAAATTTTTAGGAACATCAGAAATAATTCTAGAACTTCTGTATAATATTCTAGGGCCTTTGAAGAGTATTTATGAGTCGGAAAAAATTTTAGGACTTCTTACAAACATTTTAGAACCATCTAAGAGTCTAAAAAAAAATTCTAGGACCTTTAAAAATCATTCTAGGACTTTTCAGAAGTGTCTAGGAGGGTCGGAAAAAATTCTAGGACCTCCACAAAATATTCTAGGACGTGTGTGACACATTTAAGATTAATAAAATTTTTTTTTTTAAGACTAATAAAAATTCTATGACAAAAACTCACCCAAAATAGGATTAGCAGCAGCACTTCCAATATTACACTGCTGTAATTGCGCCTGAGACTCAACAGTAGTAACCAATCCTCCGGAGTTTCCTAGATTCCCAGAATCTGGTCTGTCGGTCGCAGAACCTGAAGATGTTCCGCCATCCACACATGTCCCCTCGTCTTCTAGCATCGAGGCTTCACTCGGGTACTCGAATGTCTTCGTTGCTCCGTCGTTGAACTGTATCCGGTGCTAAATAAATTTATTAATTAATTATTGATTCAAGTTAATAGTGTCTGATTGAAAAGAAAATACAATGGGGCTTCCTAGAATCTATAACTTAGAACCTAGAACCGTGAGATAAATTTTAAAAATAACCACCGGAAAAAAGAGAGAGGAAATTGAACGGTGGGTAACTTCGCATAACAGTAACCGGTCACACTTGTTGGGTTTAATACTCTCGATACCGCGTCACATCCATATACTTTGAATCGCTAAGATTTTAGTTTTAAAAAATTTTTGAATAATTTTAACAATTTTTTGCGTTACAATTTTCATATCTCTTGACTTTGATCGAGTATTAAAAATAGACAACTAATTATTTTTATGTCTTTGCCGGCATTTTAAGAATCCTCAGAATCTTAGCTTTAAGATTCACTATTAATTTTTTTTCATTTTGATCTTTTTTAAAAAATTTTTCAGCGCCCCCAACTCAAAAAACCCATTTTTTCGCGAATTTTCCATGTTTTTCGTCTTTAATCCGCCATAACTTTTTTTTTAATCAAAATTTTGGAACCGGCTAAATTTTATCTTAAAAAATAGACAATAAGCTACAATTTTTGTTCCAAACTTTTTTTTTTAGGACCAATAGTTTCCTTAATATTAATTTCCGACACACTTGTACACTTATCAAGTTAAAAATTGTTTAAATAAATTGACCGTCAATTTAAAATGTAACTACACCCATTTATTTCAAGTACGATCCGAAATTGCGTATTTACCGTTTCAAAGATGTCAATGATGAAGATCACAGTAAAGATAAAAATAAAAATCTAAATAAAATAATGATAAGATAGGAACTTATAAATCGCTTTTCAGTTCATGCTATTTCCAACAAGATAATGCAGTAATATAATTTAATAATAAATTGCGCTGTTATGCTTTTTTACTGTCCTTAAGCGCACTCGAGCGGCAACTATTTTCTCCGGCGATTTACGATTATCTACAATTTTTTTTTCCAAGGATCTAATTGAAATTTCTTGATCTTTTTTTTTAGAGTCTTAAAAATTTGAAAAAAAATATTGCAAGTCTGTAATGACAATAAGTACCTGTTAATAATCACACACAATGTCAAGAACGAATCAATAAAAAATAAAAATCATGTAATTTAATTACAAGTAATTTCTATTGTTTAATATTATATGTTATTTATATTCTGGATGACATACTGATAAAACACGAGCGGTTATTACTGATTTAAATACCAGATTATGCAATTTTTAATTTCAAATTTAAATAAAGAAATCACGATTTTATTTTCCTCACGATCGGTTCTGTTCTTTTTTTTTCTCTTATTGTTTCAGGTGATTAAGTCAAACTCTCACAAGTCTTCATAATATAATAATAACTCGGTTTTTTATTTTCAATAATTTTTTTTAGGTACTTAGATCAATTATTAAAATTCTGGGTATTTTTTTTAAGATTTTCCAGACTCTGAAGTCACGATTAAAAAAAAAAAAGTTTGAAAAATTTTAATTAGAAGCTGAGAAAAAAAAAAAAAAAAAAAGCGGAAACGGAGAAAAGTGCGTATCTTTATTGTTTAAGTATTTTTATATATTTATTTTTAAAAACCGATGAGATTGCATGATAGGCCTGTAGATTGAGTTAATAAAAGCGGAATCTATAAGTCTGGGAACTTGCGGACTCATCAGACCGTGCTGGTACTTTTACTTGTAAATTTTATTAGCTAAAGCCTAGACCCAGACTTTATTTTTTCACGGATCACAACTCAATTCTTACTCAGATTTATGTGAGAAGTTTTCGATCTTTCTTAACTAATTTTTTTTAATCTTATCAGAGTTTGGAGAATTTTAAAAAAAATATCCAGAGTCTTAATAATTATTTCAAGTACTCCAAAAAAAATTATCAAAGTTTGAAAGTGAAAAAAAAAAAAAATATTCTTGAGTAAAAATAATGAATTTAATTACCTTGTGATTTCTAGGTGACCTGGACAAATTACTCCTCCCGTTAATTAGTACATTATCATTAAAAAAGGCGACATCGCATGGCGAAGGCGGCCCTCCAGACAGCTCCCAGTCCCCGTCGTCGGTCGTCGAGGCGTCCAGGGTCGCATCTAGGACAATTATTCCGTCCCCCTGTGGAAAAAAATTATTGTAAAACCTTAACCTTGACAATTATCGCTAAGTAGTTAAGTAGAAAGTTAATTAAGGGCCAATTAAGAGCTATTAAAATCTGCTTTTTTGGTAGGGTTCTTTCATTTGGCAATTAATTACGGGGTAATTGCTGGAGATGGAGAAAAAAATTGTAGCTGGAAGTCTCTTCTTTGAGATAAAAATTGTCCAGGTCCTTAATTTTGATTTAAAAAATAATTATGAATTTTTTAAGGACCAAAAAGATGGAAAATTGAAGAAAATTCGGGTTTTTTGAGTTGGGGGCGCTGAAAACTAATTGAAAAAAAATAAAAATTAAAAAAATGAATAGTAAATCTTAAAGCTAAGATTATAAGGATCCTAAAAATGCCGGCGAAGACATAAAAATAATTAGTTGTCTATTTTTAATCCTCGATCAAAGTTTACAAATTTTTTAAATTTTGAATTTTGATCTTGAGTTTAATGTTTTTTAATTTTTATCTCAGTAATTATTGGTCCTAGAAAAAAAGTTACAAATTTTTGAAAATGCACAAAAGATAAAAATGAAACTAGGAAGGTTTCTTATTGCCAAGGCCGGTTGTGAGAGTCAAGTGCACTATGTAATCCATTAGCAATGTAAATAGCATACAAACGTGATATATTTATTTATAAACTTCGATATGAGTTGTTGTTTTATTTACATTTAAGAAATGACGAGCCGTGTGTTGACTTTAGTGTGAGAAAATATTTTTTATATTGGCAATTGTTACTATCTTCTACTTTGTATTGTAAATAGTCATTCGAAAGTTCATTTATATTATTCTACTCGTTATAAAACTTAACGACACACTTTGTCTGCAATTTTCATTTATTTCTATTTGTATAAATAGAAATATTTAACTCGATGGTAAAAGTTGTTAGAGAGTTTACAGAGGGCAAAAACACGCTTTTTTCTCTTAATACCTTTTTAAATTCACAGCTCGATAACTAACCATCGCTTCATTAAACTCGTCACTTTGAATTAAAGCCTGACTTGGACTAATCGATAGACCTCCCTCATCATTCAGTTTTAGTAAATAGAAAGCGCTAAAACACTCGCTTATTTATTTCCCGAATATTTGTAATTTTTTACTTTAATTAACGGATTAAAAATAGAAAACTAATTATTTTTATGTCTTCGCCAGCATTTTTAAAATCCTCAGAGTCTTAGCTTTAAGATTTTCTATTCATTTTTTTTATTCTTACATTTTTTAAGGAAGTTTTCAGCGCCCCCAACTCAAAAAACCCGATTTTTCTCAAATTTTCCATCTTTTTGGTCCTTAAACAATTTATAATTATTTTTTAAATCAAAATTAAGGACCTGGAAAAATTTTATTTGAAAAAGGAACCTTTAGACTATACAATTTTTTTTTCTAGGACCAATAGGAACATAAATATTAATTATTTAATCTAAATTTTCAATGTTAGGGCGGATTTGAAAATTAAGTAATTGGTCAAGGTTTGAAATATGACCCCAAGCTGTAACTTCGGCTTGATTGATCAAGTTACAAGGTACGGGTCCGAAAGTAGAACAAAAAGAAAAAACAAAAATTTTTAGCCGGTAGTTAAATATTTAATGGAATAAATAGTAATCGGATGGGAGATTAGATACCATTATCTAATCAAATAAAAGCTTTAAATCTACCTATGACATATGACATGTATGTTTGGATACTGATACGTTTGTATGTTTATATATCATATTTTTTTAAACAATATTGCACCCGTGTTTATCAAATATCGTTGTTTTAAATAATTAATATAATTATTGGAGCTAGAAAAAAAAAAAAAGTTTTAAACAAAAGTTGTAGCTAAAAGACTCTTTAAGATAATTTTCAGCTGGTTCCTTAATTTTGATTAGAAAGAAAGTTATGAGTAAAATTTTGAAAAAAAAAAAAAAAATAATAGTATTAAAGACAGTGCACAATTACTTGGAGATACATATGTACAAAAATAATATCCTCGAACCGAGTTGGTACTCAGGGATTGAGAAATAGCCGACGAACCGGTCGCATACCGGATCCCCCGTAAAAAACCCAAATGAAATAAAACAAAAAATATTACTATACTAAATAAAGAGACAGGATGCTCGACAAAAATAGTCGGTTGACTGAAGGCAAAGAAGTACACAAAAGAACATAACCAAGAAAAATAAAAAATATAAAAAATTACATGGGCAATAAGACTCAAGGGCTCGGAATTTTTCGTTCCATTCACAAGAGAAAGGATGTGCCGGTAATAACACGCTTTTTATATACGGTTCATGCATAGTACTTTCATTCAATGATAAATAATCATCATAATTCATAATTAATAACTCGGCATTGGAATTTTCGTTGTCATCGATCTGGCCTACTTTTCGCTCCGGACAATTTTATTCTTTTTTTTTTTATCTCGGCTCCTATTGGTTGTAAAAAAAATGTTAAGGACAAAAGTTGTAGCTTAAAGGCTCTTCTATTAACATAAATTTTAGCCAGTTCCTTAATTTTAATTAGAAAAAACATCAAAAACCCGGAAAATTCCTTAAAAAACGGGTTTTTTGAGTTGGAGTCGCTGAAAACATTTCTAAAAAATAAAAAAATAAATAAAATAAAGAGTGTTTCTTAAAGCTGAATCTTCAAGGATTCTAAAAATGCCGGCGAAGATATAAAAATATTAAGTTATCTATTTTTAATCCTTATTTAAAGTTTAAAAATTAAAAATTTTGATCTTAATATCTTAACTAATTAATATCTCGATAATTATATGTATATCAGTCCCAGAAAAAAAAAGTTTGATACAAAAGTCGTAGCTAACAGTCTCTTATATAAGAAAAAAAAATGACCGGTATCTCCATACTGATTTTCTTACAAGTTACAACTTAAAATCTAAAAAATTGAGTAAATTAGCTCCTGAAAAGGATATTAAACAATATTCCAGGCCGAGGCAACAACACGGGAGGAAAAAAAAACGGGTTAGACGTTTAGTTGGATTGAGAAAGGACTCGGTGAGTACGAGCTGATGGGCAACGAACGCGGTTGTAAAAGGTGATAACGGATCTCGAGTCTCGAGACTTGATTTAACGTCGTCTCAACATGTTTTACTCATCTGTCTCTTTTCTCTATGTATAAATACCGCTCTAGGATAGCTCAGTCCCTCTATGGTCTACATTCACCACTAAAAACTCACATACGAAACGCACACATGACCCCAGATTCCATGTAATCGCTGGAATGCCGTTCAACCGACATCCGACATTTTTTACTCCGTCTATCGATCTCGATCTCGGTTCTTACCCAAGTTACACCAAAATGTTTCAAGTTTTAGTCCAAAGACTCTTCTTTGATCCAAACTTGGTCCGGTGCCTTTATTTTAATTATAAAAAAAGTTATAAATTTTTTAAGTAACAAAAACTGCAAAAAGTCGCGAATTAACGGGTTTTTTGAGTTGGGGGCGCTGAAAACTTGTTAAAAAAAAGTCAAAATCAAAAAAACTCAAAATGTCTCTCAAAGCTAAGACATTAAGGATTCTAAAAATGCCGGCAAAGACATAAAAATTTTGAGTTATCTAATTTTATAATTTTTATCTCCGGTTATTGGCTCTAAAAAAAAAAAAAACATTTTTTAAAAAAGTTATAGCGTAATAAAGTTTCTTCTTTAAGATAAAATTTAACCGGTTCGATAATTTTGATTACGAAAAAAATTATGTTATTATAATTTCAGAGTTGAATTGTCCGAAAGTTATTTTAGTGATAAATGAGCATGACGAGTTTAGAGAGCATCAAAATATATAATGTATTTCGAAACTATACTTTTACATTTCCAGCAAAGCGTATGATAGAGCTAAAGTTGAATAATATTTTTCGCCGGAAGTGTGAATGAAGTGAAAGAGAAAAAAACAAGCACTATTGATAAGAACTTCCACAGGATAGGACGCATGTCCGGAATTTGACCTCGAATATTAATAATAATACATTATTATGTTTCTTTTTTCCTTTTAAATTAAACGCGTTATGTTTTATTATATATTATGAGGAAGAGGCCAATTGTTTGTGTTAATTCAAGTAGCATGTGTCAGTACAATTGCGCTATTTAATCCTATTACTGATATAATATTGTTTACGGTTTTACATTCCGCGGTTTCAAATATTCCGAGATAAATAATTTAGGTCAGTTTTTATAATTCAATTTTTTATATAAGTTGGTTTTAAAAAAAAAATTTGTTAAAGTTAAAGCCTCCTCTATATTTAAGATAAATTTTAGGCAGTTCCTTAATTTTGATTAGAAAAAAAGTTATGAATTTTTTAAGTAGAAAAAAATTAAGAAATTGGAAGAAAAAAATTGATTTTTTGATTTAGAGGCGCTGAAAACTTTTTTAAAAAAAGTCAAAATTAAAAAAACTCAAAATGTACATCAAAGCTAAGACTTTGAAGATTTTAAAAATGCCGGCAAAGACATAAAAATTTTGAGTTATCTAATTTTAATTCTGGGTCAAAGATTAAAAATTAAACAAATAAAAAATTTTGGCTCTTACTATCAATTTTATACAATTTTTATCTCCGTTCCTATTGGCTTAAAAAAAAAATCTTTTTTTTTTTTTTGAAGTTGTAGCAAAAAGCTTCTATGACAATCAAAAATTTGTTTGACTAAAAAATAAAAATTAAAAAAAAAGTTATAAGCTTTTTAAAAAACACTCACCTTAGTCTTCTCCCTCTTCCTCCTAATAATCAGCCCATCATTCTCAATATAATCTGGCACATCCTTTCTATTGCTAAAATTAAAAACCATGGTGTTGTTCTGCTGGTTCCAGGGCTTGTCCCAGAGCCCGCCATTTTTCACCTCCTCGGCGTTCTTCAAACTGACCACCACCTTGGTCGGCTCGCTCTCGATACTCTTCACCCTGTTGATAAGATTTTTCTCCAACTCCCTCGAACTCAAACTTTTAGAGCTCACCAGCGGCCTGATGATCCCAATTTGTTTTGGTTCCTTCCCCTTGGAAGAATTTTTCTCCACCCCATTTCCGTTTGTTTTGACCTCCTTTTCTTCACTCCCCCCATTCACCCCGGGAAGATAATTTTTCACCTCATTGTTATCATTAAAATCAAACTTTACACTTTCACCGGCTTTTGAAATTTCTTCCTGAGATTTTTTAGAAATTTTCTTTACTCCTAAATCCTCAGTTTCATTTTCTTTTAATTTTTCCGAAGTATCCACAACATCAATCTTTATTTTTTCTTCAAGTTTTTCCTCAAAATTTTCCACTATTTCTAACTTTTCAAACCTTTGTAACTTTTCCACATTTTCCAAAATTTCCAACTTCTTTCCACTTTCTTCTAAAATTTTCCACTCATCACTTTTAGCTAAAACTTTACCATTTAAATTACCTTCTTCAAAAGTTTCCAATTTCTCAATTACTTTTCCAAAATTTTCCACATTTTCTTCAAAATTTACCTCTAATTTCCCGTTATCAATTAATTCTGGTATAAAATTTACGACTTTTTCAAAATTTCCAACTTTCCCGCCATCAAATATTTCTTCTTCAAAAATTCTAACTTTCCCCAAAATATCCCCCACTTTTCTTCCATCAAATGGTTCTTCCTCAAAATTTCCCACTTTCCCTTTAACTTTCTTCTCAAATTTTTTATCCCCAGAAATTTCCCCCGAAATTTGCTGAAACTTGCTAACAGCCTGCGAAACTTTTACAATTTTTTCAACAACGACCCCATCTTGAACAACTTTTCCAGGAGCTTTTCCCGAATTTGTGATAACCTTCCCCACCTTGACAACCTTCTTACCCTTCATACTGTCATTAATCCCCTTGAAGGTGGCAACTTTAACCGCAACTTCCCCCCTGGGCTTAACTTTTTTAACAGTGGACTCAAAAATCCTCATGGTGGTCTTGACCAGGTCAGGCGGGGGTCGTTCAGTTTCCGCCAAAACGGGCCTCAATCTCTTGGGTTTTAGCACACCAGGAGTCAACTTGGACTCTATTTTAACCGAGTTGTCCACGAGGATGATGTCCGGGTCCTGGAGGTCGTATCTCATTAGAGTTTCGACACTCCTGGCGCGTTTTATCGAGTCATTGCCCCTGGAGGGGTTCCTGAACCGCTCGGTCCTGAGCGCGACACCTCCTGGAGAAATTCCAGGTCCGGGTCCAGGAGCAGGAGATTTTTTGACAAACTTCCTGGTGTCATCCCCCAGGAGGTCCTCCAAGCTAGCAGCCCGGCGAAAATTAGACCCGGTTAAATTTTCCTTGGTGAGATTCAAATACTTGCAGCGGAGTCTGTTGACAATTCCCGGGCCGTAGGCGAGTTCCTCGCAGTCGCTGCCGTCCGGGTGTAAATACGCGTCCGGTTCTAGCCGCATTTTGCAACAAACTGACTTCTGCCCGACTCCCGGCTCGGATTTCTGTTGACTGGGGACGCCACCGGTGGCGGTTTTAAGAACCTGGGGAATTTCACTTGCACTTGCACTTCCACTGGAATTTATCTTACTGGTTGTTACCTTTGAGCTATGGGGTGCCTTCGAGCAGGTTGACGATGACGAGCCACCTGGGGACGACACCACTGGCTTGTTTTTACGCCTTTGAATCAGCTCAAGCTTCCACTGAGGAATGTTATCTGTATCCGTGGCCATTTTTTAGAGGTAACTTAACTTTGCTTAGTTTTTTCACTGCACTCAAGATTGTCACTTTTATTGTGTTTACATTTAGCTTTTTAATGCTTGGGAAGATGGAGATTGTTACGTGGTCACATTTAGATGGAAGTCACACAGCCCACCGACGCCGACAGGGTTCCGCGAAATCGAAAGCGACACACCTGCCAGAGCTCATTGCCTCATTGCTAGGCGTTATGTTACAAGGTTTCGGAGTGAGGAACTGACGAGTGGTGGGGCGCTCCAATTGGTAGGAGAGAGGACGCCATTTTTAAAAAGCGGCTGATTGTTTAATTTTAAATTCTCAGTTTACTATTTTTTTTTATTGTTTATTCATTTATTACTCAATATTTTTGTGACATTAAAGTTAGCTGTCACTTAAAAATTTTTTAATATTTTATTTAACAAAAAAATTATTTTTAAAAAATTGCAGTTTTAATTTTTTTTTCTCATTAAATTACAACTAAAAAATATTGCACTTATAGTTTTTGAATTTTTTTACAAATGAAAAGTTTTTTTTTTTGTGATAATTATTTTATTTAATTTATTATGATTATTTTATCATAATTTATTTTTTATAAAATTATTAAAAATATGCTAAATTAATTATTATAATTTTTTTGTAAATTTTAAATGGTCCATTTAAAAAATTTATTTATTATTTTTTAATTATCAATTCTATTAAAATTTTTAAATTAAAATTTTCCTGCGCTAAAATTGAAATCTAGAGAGCGCTAGTGTACAAATTCCATTCTTGGTATTATTTATTATTATTATTATTATTTTGTGTAGAAAAAAAAATAAAGTAACACGCATGGTGATAAGTTGTTGAAAATAAACAATTAAATTAAACAATTACAACAATTAAAAATGAATTTTATTATTGACACGCAAGGAGCTACAAATTTAGCTGAAAAAAGTTCATTTATTGACAGTGATGATGAATTTGATATTGAAAATTTAAGTAAGTTATTTTTATTTTTATTATAGGTTAAGTTTATTTTAATTTTATTATATTTTAATAATAATAATAAAATGAGCTGACATTTTTTATTTTATTTACTTTGCTTAATTTATTAATATTATATAACTAAAAAATATTTTAAAAAAATTGCACTTATAGTTTTTAACAAATGAAAATTTTTTTTTTTTAATTTTTTAATTCTTTAATGTAAAAAATCATCAAATTTTTTAGATGTCGGCTAACTTTATTTTCATTTATTTTATTGTAAATAATTAATTTATTTTTTTTTTTTAAATAATAAACTAGATCTAGAAAATTATTTAAAAAAAAATTGAATTTATAATTTTTTAGAGCTAAATAAAATCTTCAAAATTCTGACAATTATTTTATTTAATTTTCTAATGCAAATTATTAACAAAACTTAAAATTTCAGATGTGGAGCTTCCAGAAACTTCAACAAGTTCTAAAAAGTCCAAAAAATCAGCAGAATCTGTCCTAGAATCGCTGGACTCTTTCATGGGCTGGACGGAAGAACCAAAAAAGTCACCCAGCTTGGTCCCAGATGTATCAGCACCTTTAAATACAATATCATCTTCATCATCATCAAAAGAAGTGGATGACCTTCTAAAAAAATCAGTAGTCCAACCGGGGTTCGAGAAACTGGAGTCAGTCCCGAGGTACGACGAAAGCCGCCGAAGATTGACCATCCAGCGTAAAAAGGAGCGCGAAAAGACCAAAGGAACCAAATGGTTCAACATGCCAGCCCCAGAAATGACTGCTGAGGTCAGACACGACCTCCAGGTGATCCAGATGCGGTCCGCTCTCGACCCGAAGCGCTTTTACAAGAAGAACGACATCAAGGCTCTGCCGAAGTACTTCCAGATCGGGAAAGTTGTTGACTCGCCTTTGGACTATTACAGCGGAAGACTTTCTAATAAGGAACGCAAGAAGACTCTCGTTGATGAGCTGATGGCTGATGCCGAGTTTGCCAAGTATAATAAGAGGAAGTTTAAGGAAATTGTTAAGGAAAATCCCGTTGGGATGAGAAAAGCTCATGCGCATGCTAAGAGACTCAAGAAAAGAAAATAAATTTTTATATAATTGTAAAATTATGTTTTTTTTTTTATTTTAATTTATATGAAGATAAAGTTAGCCGACATCTAAAAATTGATATAATTTTTTTTATTAAAAAATTATTACAAAAAAATTTTTTTCATTCGCTAAAAACTTCAAAAACTATAAATGCAATTTTTTTAAAATAATTTTTATTTATAAATTAATAATAAAAAATGTCGGCTAACTTTATTATTATTTAGTTTATTGTTTTATTACAGAAATTCATGACGCATTTTTTGAATTTTTATAAAAAAAATCTATAAAATAATTCCACATGTAAAAATTTAAAAAAATAAGTGCCAATTTTTAAAAACATTTTATTTATTATAGTTGATTATTTATAAAAATTATTTTAATTTAATTTTTTAGTTAATTAAAAATTTTTTTTAAGGTTTAAGTTTTCGCGCCAGAATTAAAAATCCACGCATGCGCAGTAAACTTTTCTAAAAACGTCTACTGCGCAGTTGCGCATAATGGCGGCGCACGAAGCGTGAGGACAAGGTGAGTGTTGTTATTGTTGATTGAGAATTTTATTTACAATTACACTGATTAATTTATTATTATTTACATTTAATTAGGAACAAAATAAAAATTGATAAGAAATGTCATTTGGAACAAGTTTTGGCGCGGCCGCGCCAGCAAGTCAGCCGTCATTTAATTTTGGCAGTCAAACTACTACAGCAACTCCTGTTAAACCAAGTAATTATTTTTTATTTATTAAAAATAGTATTATTATATTTGTTTAATTACTTTACAATTATTTTTTTTTTTATTTTTGTAATAATTTTTATTTTTTTTTTTTTTTTTTTTTGTAATTAAGTTTTTTTAAGTCGAAAAACATTTTGCCTCCATTTCTAACCTAAAAATTAAAAATTGTTGAAGAATATCATAGTAAAGACGGAATACAAAATAGATAATGTAAAAAAATTTTGTTTACAATTATTTTTTTTTTTATTTTAAAAAATAATATGATTTTTTTTTTTTTTTTTTTTTTTTTTTTTTTATAATAATTATAAAAAATTGATGGAGAGAATTCTAAGGAATAATTATATTAATTTATGGATTTTTTTTAATTATTTGACAAATAATTTTAAGCGTTTAAAAATATCTAAGAAAAATTTTAAGAATTTTATTTGATGTAGTATTAAATTTTAATGACATCAAAGTTAGCAGTCACTAGAGAATTTTTTAATTTTTTTAACAAACAAATTTGTTCCAAAAAATTATTTTAAAAAAATTACATTTTTTTAAATTTTTACATGTCAATTTTTTTTTGCCCTAATTTATTTTTAAAAAAACTTCTAAAAATTATTAAGTGTCTGCTAAATTTATTTTAATTAAATTTCATTTTTATTTGAATTCTAATAATTTATACTGGCTTTTTATATCATGTTTTATAAAATAAAATTTATAATTAAATTCTCTTTAATTGTAATTTTAAATTCCAGCAGGTTTCGGAACTCCATCATTCGGATTCGCGACGCCAGCAACAACCTCTCAGAGCCTGTTCGGAACTCCAGGCTCAAACTTCGGTTCCGCAGCGCCAACCTTCGGAACTCCCTCAACAAACTTCGGAACATCAACCTCCGGAACGACAAACACCTTCACAAGTACAGGTTCGACCTTCGGGTTCGGAACTCAGAACTCAACATCCTTCGGCGCTCCAGTGTCCTCCAGCTTCGGAACGACTTCAACATTCGGCTCCGGAGTTCCAACCTTCGGATCAGCCCCGAGTTCCAGCAGCTTCGGGTTCGGGAACTTCGGAAGCAACCCTCCGACCACGAGTTCCAGCTTGTTCGGGGCGTTCCCGAGCACCAGCGCTCCAGCGTTCGGTTCCACGTTCAGTTCCTTCGCAAAACCCGCGACAACTTTCGCAGGGTTTGGAACTCCAGGGTTCGGAGCGACAACAACTACTCAATCCGGGTTCGGAACCGGAACTGGCTTGTCCTTTGGAACAGGAACTGGAACTCTGGGGTTCGGCCAACAGCCGGCGCCCCAGGCTTCTGCATCAGAGGCGCTTTACAATGCGGTTTTCAATTGCCAGCTGTTTAATGACGAAAGGGACAATACAATTGCCAGGTGGAACCTCATCCAGGCACTCTGGGGAACCGGCAAGGCTTTCTACGCTGCTGATAAACCGCCCCTGGAACTCAATCAGGAGAACCTTCTCTGCAGGTTCAAGGCTATTGGCTACAGCTGTATGCCTGTTACTGAGAACAATGATGGCCTTGTGGGTCTTTGTTTTAATAAGAAGGAACAGGAACTCAAAGATTCTAAGCAGCAATTGGTCACCTCACTTAGTGCTATTCTCGGGAACAAGCCGAACTTGACAGTCACTGTTGATAATGTCAAAGGAACTGGGGAGAATAAAACTCAGGTCACCATCTATGTTACCGAGAAAGGAGTCACGGGATCGGTTAGGAAAATTCCTGCTAATGAGTTGGTAGGGTTCCTCAGTCAGCCGATGCAGAAACAGCAGCTTACTAATATGGGGATTGATAATATGTTTGCCCAGGTAATTATCAAGTTGCAGCCAATAAAACAGTTGGAACCAATTATTATTTTATATACCAATTAAAAATTTTCAGGTCAAACTTGACGCAGCTGCCTTGAAAGAGTATCTAGACAATCCACCATCCTCAATCGACCCTAGGTTATGGAAGCAAGCCCAATTGGACAACCCGAATCCGGAAAGCTACATTCCAGTTCCAATGATCGGGTTCCAGCAAGTCAAGCACAGATTAAAGTGCCAGGAAGAGGAAACTGCGCGGCACCGCGCGTTCTTGGATTTAGTCGCCGAGGAGATCCAGGAACTCCAGAGGGCGCACACCGCGACTCAAGCTAGGCTGAAGGAACACAGGCGCTCGCTCCTGGAACTTCAGCACAGAGTTCTTCAGGTTCTGGTCAAGCAGGAGATTACCAGGAAGGTCGGACTCAGCTTGCAGCCCGAGGAGGAAGTTTTGACCAAGAGGTTCGAGGCCATGTATGCACAAATTAGCGCACCCACCCAGTTTAAAGGGAGGATCAGCGAGATGCTTTCGCAGTTAAGAATGCGCAGGCATGTTGATTTGCAAGGACAGGAACGATATAGTATGGATCCTATTGCTCAGGATGATATTAAAGCGGTAAGTTAATTTTTAATAATTAAAAAATTATTGAAATTTTTTTTTAATAATTGAAAATAATTGATTTTTTTCTGGATAGTTAAAAAATAATTGAATTTTTAATTAATTAATTATTAATTAATATAATTTTTAATTAATAATTGAAAGAATTAAATTTTAATCTAATAATTGAAATAATTAGATTTATAATTAATAATTGAATTTTTTTTAATATTTGAATTTTTAATTAATAATTTAAAGAGTTAAATTTTGATCTAATAATTGAAAATAATTGAATTTTTAATTAATAATTGAAAGAATTAAATTTTGATCTAATAATTGAAATAATTAGATTTATAATTAATAATTGAATTTTCTCCGATAATTAAAAACAATTGAATTTTCAATTAATAATTGAAATAATTAAATTTTAACCTAATAATTGAAATAATTCCATTATTAATTGATAACTGTAATTATTAATTAAAATTATTGATCTTATTTTTTAAGTTATAAATTCAAAATTCAATTCTTAATTTAAATTATCTCATAAAATTTTCACAATTTTTTTTTTCCTCAGTATCTGAGCTTGGAACAACAAGGAATGGCCCAATTGATTGACACAATCACCACCGATCTGGAATCCCTGAAAGTTATCAAAGACGGTATGGCGGATCTTCTTACCGGCAACACAGCTTAGCTAATTTTTTCAAATTTTCATAATAAAAATCAATTTTAGAAAATAATTGAAAGAAAAAAAAAAAAACGTTAAGTACCTCACCGTAATTTAATTTTAAGTAATTTTTATTAAAATAAAAAATTCATCAATCAATAATAATAATAATAATAATAAAAGTATAATTTTTTTTATAAATAATAACTTTATTGCTAATTGTTACATAATTTAACAAAATTTAAATTGTCAATCAGGCACTTGGGATCAACATCGAACATTATTAACTTTATTTTTGATAATTATAGGTTATATACATACGATCCACGGTATTGAGCAACATTCAATAGTAATAGATGTCAATAATTATTAATTATAATTATTATTTGGCTTAACAGTCTGACGAAAATCCAGATTAAAATTATTAAATATTTAATAATTAAACAAAATAATTACAATTAGGTAAGCTTTAAAATAATCATTTAAGAAGGTTATAATAATTATTACAGGCAGACCGGAAATTTCGAGGTTATCGTTGCCGAGATTTTATTATTATTATTATTATTATTTTAAAATTTCGGCAATGAAGACCTAGGCCAGCTAGACTTCTGATAAATTCGCACGCATTTGGTCCTTTGAGTTCTTTTTTTTTACAAACTCAAACAATAAAAATTCCCTTTATGTTATAGACAAGATGAGAAACGAGATATTAAAAATGGCGGTGAAGATTCGAGAAGAATTTATTTCTGTAAATAATGTTTAGCGGAGGGGTAACGTTACTAAAATTTATTTTCAAACTTTTAAACTGACAGAAAAATTTTTTGTGACTCTAATTTATTCGGAAGTTCAAGAGCATTTTTTTTTTTACGCTTCTAGAAGTGTAGAATAATTTTTTAAACTCAATTATAATTACTAGCTCTGAAATGACCATAGAAAATTTTTCTAAGACCCAAATTGGCTCAAAATATCTAAAATACTGTCCCCGAAGCGTCTAGAATTTTATAACTCCCTTAAAACATCATATTTTCCAATTTTCAACATCAAAATACCCTTAACACAGGTTTAAGCCTTAAACTTATTCCAAAATCGCCGTAGAAATTATTCTATGACTTCTAGCGTTAAAAAACTTCTAGACTAACTTCCCCACAACTTCTAGAAGCCCAAATAAATTTTTTCCCTCGAAAATTCGCCAAAAAAACCTGAATTTTCCGCCTAAAACTACAGAAAGCACTGAAACTTTCTAATAAAACGACAAAATGGCTCCCTATCTTCAAAATGGCGACTCAAAGATCCAAAACATGACAATATCACTTGCTGACAGTGAGATCTAGAGGAAGTTCCTGCGATTCTTCTCTGACCCTGAGAGGAGGCGTGTCGGTGACCCCTAAATTGCTCCACATTCCCTGTAACTCGTATTTAAGGTCTACCTGGCCCAAAAGCTGCCTAAAAACAGGGTCTTGTGTCCTGAAAATCAGATCTGATAGTAATTTCGTCTTCTTGAGCAGCTGGTCGCTGTGAACGCAGCATTTATGACGGCAACAGGGCTCAGGATCGGGGTCGACCTCCATTTTATCGACCCTGCGGATCACGGAATGGCGAACAGGGGCGGAGACTATTGAGTCAATGTTTCTGTAGTCGACCTTCTGATTGATGGAAATAGTGGGCGTGTCTTTTATGGGGGTCGAATTTCTTGGCTCTAAACCTGCACCCGGACCCTGAAGCCGCTCTGGAGTCCGGAACTCGTCGAAAATTCGGGGATAGGTGCTGATGACTTCGAAGCTTTTCGGTGGGGTGACCTGGGGCGTGGCTAAAGGCGTGGCCTGTTCCTGGAGGAGGTTGTAGGAGTTCTTCCAGTCGACTAGCTTGCGTTGTTCCTCGAAACTGCTGCCTTCGCAGGGGCTGGAACCCTCGCAGGGGCTGCTTCCGACTGACTCTAGGCTTGAATTTTTCTTATCAGACTTTTCAGGGGTGACTTCTTCAAAGACTTGAGGTTTGTCCACGTAATGGCGGTAGGTTTTAACGTGCTTGCGGAGAGAGGATGGGTCTGTGTATCTTTTAGGGCACCCTGGAATCTTGCAGCAGTAGGGCTTGTCCACGGAGTGGGTTCTTGTGTGCTTGAAGCGGTCCGAAGAGTTTGAGTAGGCCTTGTTGCAACCTTCGACCGGGCAGACGTAGGGGCGTTCCCCTGTGTGGGACCTGGCGTGGATTTTTAGGTTCTCTGCCCGGCTGAAACTCTTGTCGCACTGGAAACAGTGGTGCGGCTTCTCGTTGGTGTGAGTTCGAACGTGGACCAGCATTTTGTACCTGAAAATTAGCGGGCAGAAATTAGTGGGGGGTTCTTGGGTTTTATTATAGGCGGAGCTTAGTTAGGATTTAGACCCTAAAAATATTCACCTTGCATTGAATCCTCTTTCTCCTCGAGGACATCCTTCCCAACCGCAGTAAAAGAGGCCCCTGAGCCCCGGGGCCGAGTGAGACCTCGCTACGTGTCCTGCCAAGTGCTCCAGTGACGTAAACCACTTTCCGCAATTAGACCATCTGCAATACAAAGAGTAAACAAATTATAAATAAGTCGTTATCTCTTAAAAGATATTTACACAAAACATTGTAACATATATATTTAATATATTTAATTTATCAGAATTGACTGCCGATGTTGGTTTTATCGTTATCGGGGCTCCCAGTCGCGATTCGCGTCACCGTCACACTTGTCGTCTTAATCAAACTTAATTTTTGTTGACGGGCTTTATTAACGTCTATTGACTCTACTTCACCTCAATAAATTAACCATCTTCGCTGTTAATTTATCGCTACTATTTTTTTCTTCTTTTTATATTTATACTTTATTACCAAGCGACCTTTTTGTTTGACCTTTCGCTCTTTTTTTCTTTTTTTTTTATTTAACAAATCATTTGTGATAAGAAAATTATTAGAAAGCACTGTCGTCGCTAACTGCGTATTATTTAACACGTGCGCCATTGCATGATTAATTTTTACAGTGCATCTTTTAGTTTTTTTTTTTTTTGGCCTAATTTGAATTTTCTAGAAGTTTGAAGTTCAATTTGGAACATCTAGAATCTTAAATAAGGGCCTGAAATCCAATTTAAGAATTCTAGAGACTTAATGGTGGCTAAAAGCTTGAATAAGAACTTCTAGAATTTTCAGTAAGAATATTCTGCTCAAATTAGGACTTGTAGAATCTTAATTAAGGGCCTAATATTAAAATTAATATAAAAATCTAAATTATGTCTTTTATGACTTTAAGTAAGTGTTTAATCCGCAAATTACGAGTTCTAGAATCATCAATAGGGATATTAGATTTGAATTAATACTTCTAAAAAATCATAAATTCGGACTTCTAGGACCTAAAGTAGATAATTATAAAGCTAAAAAAATTAAGACTTTTGGAAGGTAAAGTAGGTATTTAATGCTTAAATTAGGAGTTATAGAGTCTTGAATAAGAGCCTGAAGCTCAGATGAAGAGTTTTAGAACCGTTAATAAGGATCCGATGATGTAAAAATAATTTACCTGCATTTTAGCTGAGCGTTTTCATTCCTCCTGACAGAGCCAAGCTCCAAGCTAGAATTAGAAGCATCAGAATCGCTGTGAGCTGGACTAGCAGGCCCCGCGGAAACCGGGCCCATTGGAGAAGCTCCCAAACTGATAGCTCCCGGAGGCGACACGTTCAAATCGTCTTCCGTTGGCATTCTGTACGGCCAGCTAAGATCCTGGTAAATACTAGGCTGGAACTGGTTCACCTGATGGTAGTAAGTTGACACTGGGCTGTAGTATCCTGGAGATCCTAGCAGACCCGGGTATCGAGCCGCTCCGTACTGGTTTACCTGATTTGGCATTCTACCCGGAACGTAAACAATCATTTTTAGCTTTTATCTTTTTAAAAAACCAGACGTGGTTGGAAACCAATCTTAGGACACCTGACTTTTCTCGTTCAATTATTGGATTTTTTAACGGATTTTTTATAATTTCCTTTCCTGCTACCTAGACACAGCACCCGCTCCAAGGATTTTCAAATCCCACTTTCCCAACCCTTAAATTTTGTGATCTATTTTTTAGCCCAAATCAGAATTTCTGCTATGACTCTTAAAATTAATGAAATCTAACCGGATTTTTTTTTATATTTATCTTTCTACCACCTAGACAAAGCACCCCCTAGAAGCGTTTTACAATACCACGCCCCTGACCCCTAAATTTCGGCACCCCTTTATCACCAACTCTAAAAATCTAGCCCCCAGAGCTCTAATTCATGGATTTTCTTAGAATTTTCTCGACAAAATCACTCTCTCGAGCACCCTGAGTGGATTCTAGGGATTCTATAACCTTAAAGACGTTTCAGGCCTTGGTAACTTTAGGGAGTCTCACTAAACAATCTCTAATTTTGATAAAAACACAGTCCGAGTCCTGATCGTCAGATGTATTTGAATCTGTTGGACTTGAGGATGCGATAGCTCAAAAATTGCTTGCTGTACTCTATCGAAAACATAACTAGGCCGTTCGCTAACAACTTCACCAAAAAAAAAAAAAAAAAAAAAAAAAAAAAAAAACAGAATTTCTCACTGGCACCAAACGTTATTTAATCGACTTTCACGGATTTTTATGGATCAAATGATTTAGCGACATCGAATATGTTATAATTAAAATGATCGGAGAGTTGTAAATTGTTGTACTTTAGTCTGTTATCTCGCGATAATGAGCGCGATACGTTGCGGTAGTTGTTTTTATAGTTAGGCCTCCCCTTCTTCTTTCTATTGAAGATAATCGAGAGTGCTTTACTCTTTGGTGGGCAAGAGGGGGCCGTTATTTCTGGGTCGCTTGTTAAGATATCTTATTGTTTGTCGTTATAAGTCTAGAAGGAGCTAAAATCTGGCTCTGATTCTTTTCCGGACACAAAGTTCGCGGTAGGTACTTTGGACGCAATTGATCCTTGTTTAGCCAATTTATCTTTAATTTACTTTAATTGGGTGATGGTGAAGGAAAATTTTCAAGATCACGGTTTTAGAGGTTGACAAAAAAATGTTTTCTTAGATTAAAAATAGTTTTGGAGAAAAACGGCTTTAAATATAATATAAACGATGGAATATTATTAAAAAAAAACAAGATAAAATTTCATAAAAATAAGATTAATAAAAAAAACACATGTTTGTTATCAAGAGATAAGAACTCTGTGGGGGTTGTCATAATACCACTAAATAGCTAAATTAATACTTAATAAAAAATAATGTTTAATTCGTGATAGGAAAGTTACCGCGGGTTCCAAGGTCGCTCACTTTATCTACTAATTTTATTTAATATTTTTTATTTATTTATTCGTTATGTAAAAATAAAAATGTTAAATATCCCGGATCCATTAAAGAGTACCCCCAGCGTACATCGTCCTTGGGGAGTATTAATGAATACGCGTTGGGCCTTGTTTTTTATTTTTTTTATTGGACGTTTCTTGCTGCGATTCTACATGACACCCCATGGACCGCGGAGCTGCCGGCGTCGGCATCCTTTCATCTTCGGGCCCACAGACCGCCAGGTATATTCTGTATTCTATATTGTACCTTTCTGATGGAACGGGCCCACAAACAAAGAGGGGGAATAATAATAATAATAATAATAATAATAATGATACTAGTGACGATGATCAACATTTTGAGCCTAAGACTTTTTTTAAAAAATTTTGGGCCTTATTTTTAATGTTTTTATAATTAGAAAAAAATCAAATTTTAAGGCCCGAAAATTTGGGCCTCATTTTAAAAAAATTTTGGGCCTGATTCATGAAAATAAATCCTGTTATTTGACTCGCTGTTGGGGGTTCTCAATAAAAAATCAAGTATTTTATTTCAATAAATTTAATTTTTTTGTCGGTGAGTGCGAATGAGAAAAAAAAACTTGAAAGATCTCAAGAGCCTGCTGCCGTTCTTGGTTATTCTGTGGGCAGCCCTCGTAGCTTCAATATACACCACCAAGGAAGTATAAGTGTGTATACACCGGCCACAAGTGCCGTGAGAGTTAATTTTTAGTCTAGAACTCACAAAATGGAATCCCGTGGTTTTACTTCGCAATATTACCGGAACCATTACTAATAATCTCACGACATAGCACCTTTTTGGTTAGGAAATTTCCTGAGGAACAATATAAGCCTCAATAGGAATACCTCTAGATGATAGTTTTTGAGAAAAACGTCAATTTAACAAAAAAAAAAAAAAAAGGAAAATTTTTGGAAAAAGTTCAAAAAGCTGTAACTTTTGAACTATTTATAATAATTAAACTTCTTAGGATAGTTTTGGTTAGGAAATTTTCCGGGGAACAAGAAAGGTCCAGTAGATGAATAGTCCTAGATTGATAGTATTGGAGTAAAACGCGTTTGAGTAAAAAATAATGAGTAATCGCCTGAAATGATATTTCGATGAGTAAAAAAATGAAAGAGAAAGGAATAATATATATATATATATATATATATATATATATTAGGGTATTACAAACGGGACAGAGGATGGCTACCGGTCGCAGCGGGAGATCACGCCGGGGGTCCTTCCGAGGCTACCGACTATTCTTTTTTATTTTATTTCAGTCACTCCTAACATAAACTTATATTAAACTCGGTGTAATATACTGTGGTTAACATTTTAGTGACTATTATTTTAATTAAACTTCGATATGCACTGAGAGGGCAGGAGAAGAAAGGGGGGAGAGAAAAAATGTTGAAACCTGTATTGTAATTTTAGCAGTGAGTTTCGAACGTGGGTCTGAATTTACATAATTCCTTCTTTAAAGGATCATTTTTAATAGGCCTCTGGCGCCGGTTTCCCCCTCCATAAGACCCTCCACATTTGGGCCTTACTTGAAAAATATTTTTTTAAAAAATTGCAACAAATTAAAAAATAAGTCCCAAAATTGAGTTTTATTCATAAGGACCAAAAGTGTTAGAATAAGGCCCAAAAATTTACAAAGATTCGATTTTTTTTTATAAAAGAAGCCCAATGTTTTAGAACAAGAACCATTTTAAAAATAAGGCCCAAAACTCATTTTTATTCGTGAGGCCCAAAGTGTTTGAATAAGGCCCAAAATTTTATAAAGCTTCAATTTTTATAAAAAGAATTCCAATGTTTTAGAGCAAGGCCCATTTTAAAAAATAAGGCCCAAAATATTTTTTTTAATAGAACCAGGTACATTTATAAAATAACATCTGAATGTTGTGATTAAATATAAGGCCCAAAATTTAAAAAAATTTTTAATCCACGAAATTTTTATTTAAAAGAATATTTTCGTCAAAATATTTTGTCATGATCTATTATAAAAGTAACAAGATATCAGTGGGTGGTGTGAGGTTATTTTAGACTTAGACAACAATGGACCACCATTGAGGCGATAGGACAGTAAGTCGTGATGTACAATTAGCAACAATAAGGGGGTCTGGTCCCCCGCTAAGCCCGCATCGTTATTTTTTTTTCTTTTTTCGGGCCCAGAAACACGAGAGAAAGAAATTTTCCAGCTGGCGAGAAGAAATAAAATCTTGCCAGGCAAATGTTGACATTATAACTGGTCTTTTCCAGGAAAATAATACCCGGTTCGTGGGTGGTCCGAGTCAAGCCTGTAAGTTTGTAGAGGTGTCGCGTTGTATAGCGTAAATTGCATTTTAGCCCCCCCAGGGACTTTTTTTTTCCAAAAAAATTTTTTTTTCGATATTCAAAGTGTAAAAATCATAAAAATCTTTCTTGAACTTACAGATAAGGCTCAGAACTCAAAATAGGGGGTGGTCCAAAATTAGGACACGGTGTCCCAATAGCCGACCGGGGCTGGAAATTGATATTTGATTAAAATAAACGACTGGGAGGACAATAAAACGGAAATGGGAGCGCTTGTCGGTGAGATGGGAGCAAAAAAAGGTAATGGCGGTGGGCCCTTTATTCGACGTGGGAGGTCCTTTCTCGCGTTCTTTTATACGTAGCTCCTTCTTCGAGCTTCTTACTATTCGAATCATTTGTCAATGGTAAATCTAGTTTGACGATTCGTTACACTGTTGCGGGGTTTTATTTTTTTTGTCAGGCCCAAAAACTTAACAGCCTTAAATTCAATTTATGCATTCTTAATATTTGAATAAATTTTATTTTGGGCCCTATTTTCAGCCTTTAACAATTACGTGACAAATTCCAAATTATTTTTTAAAAAAAATATTTGCGAAGTAAGGCCCAATTTTTAAGATACTTTAAAAGATCTATTTGGGCCTTACGGTCCAGGCGATATTAGTCAAAAAATGACACCGCAAGCGTTAAACCGAAAATTAACGTTGAAAATAGAGAAAGATTCCCACGTGGGCCCTATGGTTGAGTTTACGGGCCGAAAAAATGCAAATGTGACCTACTGGGTCTATATTTCCACTTGTAGGGGTAAAGATAGTACAATAGGGTGAGTTATTAGCATATGGTAAAACCTGTCTCACCCTTAAGAAAGCAGTGATGCTCCTTCCCTCCTCCGTCCCCCTCGTTGCAACGGATTTGGGGTCCTATGACGGGATACCGGTTCCGATTTTAGTTCATCCACGGGACACTTTGTCCCATAACGCGATACCTTTGTTTCGTCTAGCTTCTTATTTATAGACGAGATTTCCGATTTCGGTTACCGTTGGAAGTTCATAGGTGAGGCCCAGTTCACCAACGGACCCACTATTTCATCAGGACCGTTGGTAAATATCATCGTTGTAAAAAAAAAGAACTGTTTTTATTTAATTAATTCTGAAATAACAGTCGATATGTGATTTTTTTTAATCAAGACTCAAAAATTGGGCCTAATTAAAATTGAGACTTACTAATTTTACATTTTTGGTAAGAAAATTTTTTGAAGGACAAAAAAGGTCCCTTGGAAAAATTGTTTT